TGATAAAAATGGTGTTATCAGTAAAAAAGAAATTGATCGGATGGTTAAAGTAGGTAACTATTAGTTGTGTTTTTTTATTTAACTTTATTTTATTATAGATTGCAATGAAACTTCATGCAAAAGATGATCCAAAACAAAAATCACGTATTCTTGATGAATTAAAACGATCACTTGAGCATCTTAATCAAGGCAAAGATCTCGATGATATACAAATAACTTCAGAAGAGTTTATTCAATTATTAATGGAAAATAAAGAATTATGCGAATTAGTATCACCGTTCAGTATTGAACAACCACAAGATGTCAATGCTCAACAGCCACATGCTCAGTCAAAATAGAATAAAAATACAAGAGTGACATCCAATTAAACTATAAAAACAACTCCGATATATTTACACATATATATATATATATATATCCCTGCTCAAAATAAACTACACACTATATTTTTTCGATTATTTCTCCATACTATTGCAGTTCAGTCCAATTTTTATATCAAAGATGCATGCTTAATTACTCAACTTATTCTGAAAGTTTCAGCCGTATAGGGTAAGAATTGGTGGAGAAAACTACCAATATGTCTTAGGCACTCATATGCTACTGAAACCAAATTTTGGTATTTTATTGGTTTCTCAGTTGTTTGATATTATATTTGAGATTTCGATTAGCAGTTAGTTATGTCTTAGATTTGTTTTTACAAAGAGATATCTTTGGTGATATTCATATGTCATGTGATCAGTTATTGAAACAAATCTCCTTCAATGACTACATCGATGACTATACACGTCTCAATTAACATTTCCGATAAAAGACAAATAAAATAATCTGGTTTATTCAATGAAATCCTATACAACAATAATTCAGCTACAAAATGGTGTGGGTGTGGGTGTGTGTATTTGCTTTATGTTCACTCACACCAACACCCACACCCACACCCTTGATTATAATTGTTGCAAGATTGTGCAAGGCTTTATAAAAACATGGGCAAACTTACGCTCGTCAGTAGCTCAGAATAGAAAAAGAAAACACGTTAGATTTATGTAAGAATATTTGTCTTTACTTTTCTTTTCTATCTTAACATGCATATACAAGAAATTGAGAAAAAGAACACTATATCAGTGAATAAAATTGAGTATTTGTCTACACTGAATTACATAAGAAGCATTGCAAAGCATATATTGATTCAGCTGATGAAAAGGAGGGAGTTCAAATGTTAGTCGTCCAATGACTGGTGAACTTACGAAAGAATGGGCTACTAAATTATATGAGGATCATTTTTCTTCTAAGTCTTTTTGTCAATTATACAGCACTGGTCACCTTCATTATGAATGTGCTCTTCAAGCATATCTCAGTTTGTTACAATCTATTTTACCGATAGTTTCTCGGTCGACATTTCTTCATTATTCTCGATATGCAGTATTTGAGTTTTTATGCATTTTTTGTTTGCATGCAACGTTGAAGAATGGAGTATATCATTTATTTCGTGATTTATTATTTGATGTAAACGATGACATATTAACTCGAAGAGATTATACGTCAAATCGATATAATGATTCAACAAACGTACAGAATGCTCGTTCCTTTATATGCTCCATTCTTTAAATTTTGACAGTGAGAGTGAAGAATTGAATAAGATCGTTGCACTTGGAAAACTATTCTTGTCTGCTCAGTTGTTGCGTCTTGATGCAAACGAATCCTATCATAGGGACTCGTAGAGTGTGGGTGTGGGTGTGGGTGTGTGTGGGTGTGGGGGGTGTGGGTGCGGATGTGGATGTGTGTGGGTGTGGGATGTGGGGTTACTTAGTCACTTCAGCCACACGCATACTCATACCCACATCTCACACCCCACCCCCACCCACACCCACAGCCATCCCACACCCACACCCACACAAACCCACACCAACACCCTCCACACACACAAACCCACACCAACACCCCACACCCACCCACACCCACACCCACACCCACTATAAACAAGTATTAGAACTTTGGAAAGAAATGTCTTCCTCATCCTCATGAGGAAGTAGCCATGTCATGTAAAGGACTAGCTGAAATTCACTTTGATCTGCATAAGTACGAACAAACTCTAGACAATTGTCAGAAGGCACTATATATCGAAAGTAAATCATTACTACCATGATCAGTCACTATTGGCAGTCACCTACGAAAATATGGCTGTGATATGTGAGCATTTAGATGATATAGAATGCACAAAAGACTTTTTTGCCAAAGCAAGTGCTATCAATTATCGTACGACACCAGTACCTTGTTCACGTTTCCCTATTATGACTTATACGTGCCGATGGTATCAACATTGAGTATGGATTTATGATATGTTTCAATCCTTGAAAGGAGTTCCTTGTTTTCGATGTATCTGTAAACTGTTTACTATTCAACGATGATTGAATGTATGTCTCTTCGTTTGTCAGTTAAAAGTTGCTTTTTCACAGACTTCAATGTCTTATCAAAAATAAGAAACATCAAAATTCATCACAAAATGTAGGAGAAAGCTCTTTCAATATAATTTCTTAGCCATGAGATTAGCTCTGTTAAATGATTTTGTCACGTAAGTTACATTTCTGCATGACTTCTGCATGCAAATTCTACGCTAAAAATCAATGCGTCATAAATGTTTCAATCTTGATAGTAATTTGCTCAAGTCATCCTCAATCTCAAGGCTTTGACGACTTTTCATCATGATCTCGTACTGCGAGCAATGATTGAAACTTTCCGCATCTGCACATCAGAGATGTCCATCGCGGCGCTGCCGCTACCGCTGCCGCTGCCGCGCCGCTGCCGCGATGGCGGTGGCGGCGCGGCAGCGGCAGGTTTTTTAAAAAAATCACCGCGGGAGCGGCGCGGTAGCGGCGCGGTAGCGGTAGATTTGTTAAAAATCATCGCGGCAGCGGCGCGGTAGCGGCAGGTTTTTTAAAAGACCATCGCGGCAGCGGCAGGATTTTTTTGGGGAACATTGAAAAACTGCAGGAATTTAATAGAATTTCAGGGTTTACAAATGAAACACTCCGAGACTGAATGAATCTGATGGTCTAGTACCAATATCTCTGGTCAAATATAGTCGCAGCAGTGAAATTAGAAACACTTTTTTGTAAACCGCCGCGGCAACGTTTTTTTTATAAGCCATCGCGGCGCGGCAGCGCCGCGGCAACATTTTTTTATAAACCGTCGCGGCGCGGCTGCGGTGCGGTAGCTTTTTTTTCTAAGGCCGCGGCGCGGCAGCGGCAGATTTTCAGCCGCGATGGACATCTCTGATGCTTTGCGACAAAGATCAATTACATTTGTTCGAAGTTGTTATTCATCAGCTTTACTTTTCTATAGAAAAGAACGAAGAAAAATGTGCTACGAGATTAAAAAAAAACATTACTCTTGTATGACATTGATAATAACCATAGTAAAAAATTCATTCTGTGCAAGCGACAAGAAACGAAACAACTTCTCTGCATACACTTTCAGCGAAAGAAAAATGACAAATTCCATGCAAAAAGTACCAACACGAATTCTCAATGCAATTAGGAAGGAAAATTTATCATCAGACACTGTTATATATTATAAACAAGATGAAGGTTGGGTGTATGAAAAAGGTAGTGCTGATCTAGTCAATTTGCAGCAACAAAGTCTAGATAATGCACGTCCATTGGAGTCATTGGATCCCTTTAGTAAGCTGAAAACGACGGATTTAATCTTCGTACTATCAATTTATTCTTTCGTTTTCCTATTCAGGTACTCAACCAGCCAATATTTCAATAGCCATTACACAAGAAACAGATATGTATACAACAACATTTGATCAGGGATTAAGTGAGCTTTCTCAATACGGTCAAGTATCATGTTTTGGTCAACATGCTCCATTGACACCAATTACTCTTCACGGTACGGCTTGTGATGTTGCACATATTCCTCGTGATGCAACACATTTCTGTTGGGTTTATCCACCAGTTGGATTAACTCAGTTAAATGATGCAGTGAAGAAAAAGATTGATGAAAAAGTGGCAGCCGGTGATTCATCATATACTTTCTTTGCATTCGGTGGTTTTGTTTATTTTCGAGCCGATAGACGTAATTACGTAACGTTACAAGCCAATGCTCTAGTCAAAGCTAACAATGGTTTGACATTTGCAGGACCATTCAAATGGCGATCGGCCTACACAGCTCATTTAGCTAAACAAGGACGATTTCAGGTACTTTCATACATTGTCAAATGAATTACAAATAGCATTTTTCCTTTTATTTGTAGGATGTCACCTTGTCATCACTGTTGGAGTTAGGTATCAAATACTATTGTTTTATTAATCCAAACGAAAAACTTGAGAGTTCTATTAAGCATCATCTACATTGGACTCCTGCTAAGAACGGTGCTTTCGTCTATCTGTACGACTCACCATCAAAATCTCATCCATTCGATCGATATTTCACTATTGCTGACACACCAGTTACAGATCAGATCAGTACACGAGTGATGCCATTCTCATTAGTACGAAAATCTCCATCTCTTAAATCATCGTCATCATTATCACAGAATTCTGTTACTGAGAAACAATCAACTGCATCGGCATCAAGTTCGAGTGATGATAGAGATAGATTTAACTGTTCGATTTGTTTCGAACGTACTATTCAATGTATTTTAATACCATGTAAACACATGTGTGCATGTGCTGAATGTTCTCAAATCATCAAAGAAAAACTAAAATCACATTGTCCTATATGTAGACAAAAATTTACTGAAGTATGGAATGTATTTTTGTAAAAGGAAATTTTTGTATTAAATGATATTCTTCTATGAACAACTAAATATGATTATTCATTCATGGTGTGTTAATTTAAATTTCATTGATCACACATCTGACTTCTACGTTAGTATTGTTAGCTATCTAAGAGAAGCTTGATTCTCTCTGACGTTGATTATTGACGCATAATTACTAAGTAGCTGGCAATGTAATGAATAGGTTCATGCATTAAATATGTCTCTATTCTTCCGCTGCTATGTGTTACATCTGTTATAAAATTCCCTTGCGCATGACAACTGATCGAGTTTGATCAAAAGATATACCAAATGTCAGTTCATTTCTCGGATTCACGACATGAACAGAAAATACGAAAAAAAGGGTGTGGGTGTGGGTGTGGGTGTGGGGTGTGGATGTGGGGTGTGTGGGTGTGGGTGTGTGGTAGTGAGTGTGGCTGTTGCTGTGGGGTATGGGTGGGTGTTATTGTTCTTCTATTCACCACCGACAGCGACACCCACACCCCCACACCCCCACACCCACACCCACTCCTTTATATACTCCATTCTTTAAATTTTGACAGCGAGAGTGAAGAATTGAATAAGATCGTTGCACTTGGAAAACTATTCTTGTCTGATTAGTTTTTGCGTCTTGATGCAAACGAATCCTATCATAGGGACTCGTATTGCTCATGAAATGTTCAACAGCTTAGGAAACGAATTCCACCAGTCACGTCAGTTGACACCATTACTGTCAAAATATGGTACTTCATCTGAAGTCCCAACTTAGTGAATGAGAATCGTTTCTTTCCTATGCAGAATATGATAACATTTACGTTGAACCTTGATTATAAACAATCAAAAAATCAACTATCTAATAAACAACTTTGATGCACAAATCTTACATAGTACTTCTGTTGTGGGTGGAATGTGTGTATGGGTCTTGGTGATGGTGTAGATGAGGACATGACACCTACATTCCGCACCCACTTCCTGAAAATAAATTAGAAAATAAGACATCTTCTAGTTGACATATAAGATCTATTCAGCCATTAGAAAAAGATACTGATGAATGTATTAGTGATGATTAAGAAGGTGATATATCTGATATAACATGTTTTGCGTGATATTTCAACCGTAAGAAGAAAGGAAGATAACTTCTATCAGCATCTTTACCAATAGACAATAAATTTTATGATCGCACTGTAAGCGAAAATCTTTTGCGCGAAGGAGTAGATACCTATCGTATTAATAATGGCGAAGAATATTATTCGGATCCATGGAAATCTGATAAACCTCATGGATATAGTTAAAATTAAGAGATACATACGAATACAAAGGTATTGTTAAAGATGGAAAATTTCATAATCTAGAAATTCTAACGATAGAAGTAACCGGTGTTAAAGAAATAAATAATCCATCTATTGTAAAAGATACTCTTGAAATTATAGCAGAATGAAACGCTGGCAAAACGCGTATTGTTGATATAAATTATAAAGTTTTTTCGTGATAGTTTAAAATCTATCTATTTATTGTATAATGAAAGTCTCCAAAAATAGAGACAATATTTTCAAAATTTAATTGATTTATTAGAAAAATGGCTATTAAATCTTTATTTAACGTCTGATCGAAAATTTTTTGGACAACATGATAAAAGGTGAAACATATATATAAAAGCCATTGGAAGAACTTTTTTTTAATATTTAGATAACATGTTCTGTCCTCTATCTGTCATATTAATTTGACATTTTTCGATTGATCTATTGTCGTCAAAATGATCGATCTTCGGAAACGAATATTTTCTATGCTTCGACGACAAAATAATTTGAAAGAAAGCGATACAGTAAAACATTTTTGTGTAAGAAGGTTTTAAAAGATCAACAATTTATAATATAATAAAACGGTATGATATTGATGTACCATTCGAAGATCGCTCAAGGAGTGGTCGTTCAATATATTTTGATAAGAAAAACCGAAACTGTCTGCAATATGGGTGTGGGTGTGATAGGAGAGAAGGCCAACATCCATACTACCCACCCACACCCTTTATCTCATCGAACTAAATAGAGAATATACGTGAATAGAAGTTCTTCAATAACACATTCAAGCCATACTCATATGCGTACTCGTATTCACATATACACCCATATCAATAATGACACAATGTAAAACTTTTGGAAGCTTAAATATTATTGAATTATTTCAAATCCTATATTTCGTCAATCGTAGTTTGTTTTTGTCAAGATTTTATTTATTGCTTCTCAACATAACATTAAGACAATCATTTCAAGGGTTTTAGAGTGATCGTTCAATTTATTTTCATATATCAGTTAAATAATATATAAAAATCCGATACATTCATTAAGGACAGTTTGTTCTTTGGCAAGTCTTGTTTCGAGGATTATATTTGCAGTTAGCTTTGCATAGATATTCAGCGGAGCAATTACCTCCCTCTCGTCCAAATTTATTCGCTTTTTGATCTTCTTGACTATCGACTGAACTAGCATCTTGAGCTGCTTCACGACAATCGCTAACTGAAAGATGGAAATGTAACACGTTAAAAAATTATATTGTTGAATATCTTATAAGGACTCACTTTTTTTTGCAATACGTATATTGATAGTTGTTTTTCCACAAACATGAACAGCATTATAGTTTCCTTGACAATGAAAAAATTTGTCACAATTCATACAATTAGCTGTTTTCATTTCATCGTATTGAACCTTTAATTGACGACCAGGACATGTATTAAGATCCCAACCGGCACATCGTACAAATTTAAACCAACTCATTGACATTATTCCTGGAACTATCAAAATGAAGCAAAATATCGATAGAAAATATTCCAGATGCATCTCTAAGTGATTTAGTTGCCAATGTATGTAATAAATAATTGTGATATACAATATTTATATATATATATGGTTAAAATGATGTACGTGTTCCGTTTATATTCAATTTCATGAAACAAATAAAGAAAAATTTGTTTACACAGTTGCATCAAGTTTCAAATACAATCGAATCAAAAGGTCAATGGAAGAAAGAACATGAGCAATTTAAACATGTAAAAGATAAAATGAGAGAACGGAAGTGTATTGTATTTCAGACACTAAATAAATTTCAAAACATTGATATTGTGTTGGAGTAGTCAGAATAAAAATTATTTTGAGAAATGAATAGTATTGAATAATTAAAAAGGTTAATTGTATTAAAGTACTTGGTTTTTAGAAATTATTGTTATTCCAATACTTGTACATGTTAAATTAATAGTTTTTAAACGAATCTTTTGTGTTTAAAGAAAGTAGATTTTTAGCGAATGAAACCCTATTTTTGCACGATTATTTTTAAAAATATCCAACTAAATGCCGCCCCATTATTCTTGTGAGATTCAGAAAACTGTCAAGGTAGACTTTTCATTCAGTTAGTAATAAGCTAGAAAAAAAATGAACTGTTTTTTTCTTTATATATAAAGTATCACTTAGAAAGTTGCTAGAAGCGATTTGAAGAACTCGAAAGATGTTGCAACCAAGCATCTTTATCTTTATTTTTAATGGGGATGAAGTTTTGGTCGTTATGGGTATTTAACAAGAGTATATTCATACTTGCACTCACATTCGTAAGGTGATCTAGAGTCATTCATTATTGCTTTTTATTTGAATCCATAATAGAATCATTGTTGAAAGATCATTGGAACATTGAATATCAAAATGCGATAGACACATACGTTTCTTGAGGAAAACAGTTTTTTTTTTAGTTATTTATCGAAGTTATTTTTAGCATACGATGAATTAGGACATAGGTATACGATGCAGATATGAGTATAAATGTACTCTTGTTAAATTGCCACATCCACAGTCATATCTACATTTATCTTCGTTATGTTCATTGCTAAATTGATCTATTCAGCAATAGACTTCTTCTGTTACGTCATAAATATATTTCTGTGAATTAATAAAGTACTAAAGCAATACTCAAACCATATTCATATCATTTTTCATAGTCAAACAGATCATTTTGAAGTAAACAAAATGTTCTGTTATATTTTTAACTATTATCTGATTCATATTCTTGATACCAAAGATAAAAATTCAAATATGATTGATTATATTTTTGTTAAAACATAAGAATTTTCCTTAGGTATAATTCTTCGATTGTTAATTATATAAAGTGATAAGAATTTTATTCATACAGAATTGATAACAATACAATATCGAACTACTATTAGGAAGAGTGCCAGCACCATAGTAGCGTTGGCTCACACGCATATCCATTTGCTTAGAATTTTCTCATGAGATCATTTCTTATGGAAAACTATTTTTGCTGATAGTTTCACCAAAGATGTAGTTTCTTATTCGCTATAGCAAGATTTAAATATATATGAACTAAAAGAGATATACTTAAATACAATGAAGTGCAAAGGGAATATTTTTCAATATGTTAAAATATACCAGAAAAAATACACTAGAGAAAAATATATGATAGAAATCTCTTTAAATAATTTATGCCATTATTCATTCAGCTTGTTTTTCAGTGTTCTCTTGTCGTTCAGATCCTTCTATTGATTGATGTTGAAATTTTCTCCAACTTCGTAAATAATCAATATGTGATTCATCGGTATGATCAACAATTAAAAAGGCTTGAATGGCTCCATCTTCATATCCAACGACTAATACCCGGCCATCATTTGTTGCTGTTGCTTGTCGAACTTTAGTTGGACATTTTATATCAGCTAATTGGCGACCATCTTCTGTACGAAATACACGTATTGTTCGTTTACCTTTATGATAATATATAACATGTTCATTTGTCGGAGTAAAAAATGCCATTACATCAAATACACCTTCAGCTACTTTGCCAATTAATGTTCGAACTACTTTTCCATTTCGAAAATCAAATATTTCAAGACCACCACGTGTTGGAGCATATAAACCATATTGACCATCGGATGATATTTGACCACCCCATTTTGGTAATGTAAAATGAACCTGTTTAGAATACATAGAAGACGTAATGACTATAAATGACTTATGAATTTGAAACTTCCTCTCCTCGATAATGCTTACGAACCAAAATATACTTTATTTTCTTTTTCAAAATCAAAAAGTCTCGTATGACTCGCTTAGGAGAACAGCATCATTCGAATTCCTATGAAAAACTATGTGTTTTGACCTGCTACACTTTTTTGTAAGACCTATCGGAACCATGAAAATTTGAATTTCAATGCTCGACAATAAATTCATCAATTATAGGAAACTTCAGACTATGTCTTACTCGATAAAGATCAAAAACTAATAAATGCGGAAACCTCGGATTTAAATTCGAGAGTTATGTGTACTTCAAAAAGTGAATGAGACAGATAAGTCATCCTAGAATGTGTGGACATCAAAATGATCCTGGCAAACCTTTTCTATAAAACACTTGATTTCTATTGGCTACTCTCAACCAATAGGATTTGTGGATGAATACAGCTCAAATTTGAACTCTGCACCTTGATTTACCCTAAGAAAGGCGTTTTTCCCATAACTTGATCTCTATTGGTTACTACTCGACTAATAGGATTTCGAGGCAAACAGAGCTCAGATTCGAGTTTACTGATTAAGACAGAAAACCTCGAAGTATCATCTCTGCGATCGAAAGACAGAGCTCTAATTGTGGATCAATTAGAGCATGGACAAAAACAGAACCAATTCTCCTTTAATTATCTTTGCAATAGACGAGTCAGCCTTCTTGATTCTTTATGTTTTATATACCATTTTGTAGCTCGTGAAATTCTCTATCGAATGGTATATAATAGTTGGGGTTTTATTTGTCTATGATAGGAAAAGTTTTTTACGAAAGCGGGAATAGGTCGATCTTCACATAGGAAAGCATAGGGAAAAATGACTATTTTTGCAATAACTCAGCAATGGCTCGGCCAATCATTCTCATCTTCGAATTCGACCGAGATATTGTTGAGACTAAACTGTATAGAAAATTTCATCGCGATCGGACTCTCCTTTCGAAAGTTATCGTGTAAATGGCCGGACGGACGGACACACTGACCGATTCTAGAGTGTACTCACTTTTTGAGTAGACAAAAAATCTGAAACTTCCGAGTTTCGATAGGAAGAACAGTAACTTCAACAGCAACAATTATTCTGTTTATTCATATTAATTATTTTCTTAAAATTTAGTGTAAAAACAAAAGCAAAACTTTATCTATATTAATCACTTATATTTGATTTTGTCTATAGATAAGTTTATTTTTGATAAAGATAATTTTAAGATAGAACGTTAATATACATAGTAAAAATAAAGTTTAACTCAAAAAAGATCTATTGACAACAATGATTAATTGGAGAATTATACACAGAGAAAAACAAAAAAGATCTTGTTTTTTTTCTGTCTGAAAACAACATATTTTTCGAATAAAGAATGATGCACATCATAGACTATGTTCCCACGCATTTTCTATATTTCAATGATTCTGAGAAAGAAAACAAATATTCACGAATGATCATTTTGTGGAACTCACATATATTTTCGAAGAAAATAGTCAGTGTAAGTTTTATGTTCAAGTTTTTGTGGCCCCACCCCATTACAGACACATAGTAACGTATGGCGTTATTATAGACACTTAGCAACGTAGGACTCCATTACAGCCATTAATAATTTAATAATGAAAAAATAATACTCCACTATGCTACAAAAGTCTAGATGTAAAATTCTTTTAGAAATATAGAAATTCGATAGATTATTGCACAGAACAACGATAGCTTATCAGAGACTTTTCACTTTATATATTTTTTATTAGTTTAGTAAGACTGGAGAGCATACGTGAGTTCCATATTTCAGTACCAAAGTGCTGCGCTAACAAGTTTTTTTTTCTATATTTATATTCCATTTTTTTTATGTAAATTATAATATTCGATGAAAATATTGAATGTAAGTTGTATGTCAAAGTGTCATGGTTTCTTCTTTCTATTATAAAAATAACAACAAGACTTCGAGTGTTCTAGAACATTTCAAAGTTTTCCTCGAAATTAGAGTCACTGGAATATGTTTGCAACTGTTTCGATTAGTGCAGATGTTGTCTTTTTTTTACACACATACAAATTTCTAATAATGATCGAGTTGTAGTTCTAACTGAACATAAAACGAGTCCTTTCTTCAATGATCGACTATCATAGAAAACAATTATAGTCTAATGGGAAATGTTTGTTTTACTTGTTTTCTATTTTCAATAAAAATTTCAATAATTTAGCTCCACCAGATGTGTTCACAGGGCAGGGTAAGGTAGCGCAGGGTGCAGGGCAGGACAGAATGAAACCTTCATACCCTGCAAATTTGAATATTCACTTTCTGCGTTTTCATTTTGAAAAGAGTTTTTTTGATCTTTGTGCGTCGGTGACCGATCAATTCTTCGCCAAAAAATTCGTCGCACATCTATTGTAGAGAATACATTGATTGAATTAAGTGATTTACTTTAGAATGTTATCTAAATAATCGCCTTAACAAAAATTTTTCTTCAGATAATTAGAAATCTTTTTACAGAATACAATGGTTTTTTTCAAAAATAAAATAGAGATATTAATTCAAAGCCTATTTTAAAATTTCATTAAAAAAAAATTGAAGTTTAATTTAAAATAAAATTCTATGAAAACAAATTAAAAATAAAATTCATTTTTTTCAATTGACATTTAGCTTTTTATTTAAAAAAAGGCTGAAAATGAAAAGAAAAATGTAAATTCAAAAAAACTTTACAAATGTAAATTTTAAAAATTTTAAGTTTTTTATTTCCTGAAAACATAAATTATTTCAATGAAAAAAAATGAATTTTCTAATTTGTCTACATAGAATTTTATTCAAAATCAAACTTTGACTTTTTTAATTCACATTTGTAAAATTTTTGATGAATTTATATTTTTGTTTTTATTTTCGATCTTTTTTTTAATAAAAAGTTAAATTTCAATTGAAAAAATGAATTTAATTTTTTATTTGTTTTCATAGAATTTTAAAAAAAATTAAACTTCAATTGTTTTTAATGAAATTTCAAAATAGGCTTTGAATTAATATCTCTATTTTATTTTTGAAAAAACCATTGTATTCTGTAAAAAGATTTCTAATTATCTGAAGAAAAATTTTTGTTAAGGCGATTAATTAGATAACATTCTAAAGTAAATCACTTAATTCAATCAATGTATTCTCTACAATAGATGTGCGACGAATTGTACTAGTGCCCCTGTGCGTCAAAGATCAAAAATGAGTCACAGAAGGCGATACCAGTCGTTCAGTTTTGTCTATTCCTGCAACAATAACTAACGTAAAAAGAGAGTTTTCTACTGTGGGTTGGGTCCTAAATGAAAGAGAAACCCATCTTCAACCAAATAGATTAGAAAAAATATACAATTAATAGAAAACGGTTTATATCCAAATAAATCATGTATTTTGTGGAACTCGCGTATATTTTCGAAGAAAATAGCGAGTGTAAGTTTTAAGTTCAAATTTTCACAGTTTCTCTCCTCTCCACTACAGGCACTTAGCAACTGGAGAGAGCATTACAGACTCGTCCCTCCATGATAGACCTCAGCAATCGCGCACAAAACGCTTTAGATTCTATACAACATTTCAATACTTTCATGATTGTTTGAAAAAACTACTTTGGTGTTTATAAATGATGTTTTAAGATAGCAAGTTTAAAGGATATACGTGAGTTCCACATTTCAGCTCCAAAACAGCTTCGCTAACAAGCTTTTTTTTCTTATTGATAGTAGCAGTCGTCTAATCATTGTTAATCTTTTTGTTGGACTTTTTTCAGATCAATGTCTGTTGTAAAGCTTGTGAGCCTAGGTTGCGTCTATTCTGCCATCTACTTGTCTGACGTTTAGAAATACTTATACATTTAGTTAGTTGAGCTGTAAGTTATTTATATTGTGAAATAAATTTAAGGCCCCCCTCGCCCCCAGAAATGGTTTCCCACTTAGAATGGGCCTTTTGAGCTGAAAATTTCAGGGATGAGTGATCCTGGAGAGATACGTCTCTGATAAAAATTTCAGCTCGATTGGCCGTATTAAACCGAAGTTTCAGCTGATTCATAAGCCATTTTTGGTCTTCAGGAGAATCTGGATAACTTTGTCGCAATACGAGGTATAGAGCTCCGGATGATTTCAAATTAAAGCCAATGTCAGTATACGCAACTTTTCATCACCCAGAATTTTTAAATTCCGTATTGGTCATTTTTTATGAATATTTTAGTAAGCATGTCTTTAAAAAAGCATAAAAACAGCGATCTGACAACAGTAAATTTACACTTTTCTCAGGCCAGGAATCGGTTTTAAAAAAGCTGGTTGATGAAAAGTTTCCTCTCATTAAGACCTTTAAAACAAAAAAAAAATATGTGTTATATCTTGAACCGTGCATGAGTTATCTCAATTTTTCTGACTGAAAATCATGTTTTGAGAAAAACGAGAAAGAAGTTTTAGAAATAGATTTTTTTCATTTAAATCCAAAAAAATCATATTAAAATGGCATATTTTCAATATATTTCATTGAACTTTTTTAAAGCGCATAACAGATGCAGTAAGCTAGAGCCATCTGACATGCCGATTAATACAAAAATATTCTATTTAATGATTAATGCCGGTGGAAACGCAAATTTCCTAAAACTGAAAACCTTTAAAAACCATGAAAATTTCTCCGTAAGCATGATAGTAGATTTTGAGTTTCATGTTATAAGTCTTTGAAAATCTGATCATTTTCAAAAAATCTATAGATATACTCAAAAAAGGAAGCTTGGCTGCATCTTCCCGTAATAAAAACTCAACATCGATATTTCCCCTGAAAAACTCGATTTTCTGAGGGGGGGGGGCGGCCTTAAATAAAACAATTTTCTATGATACAATACACAAACGTCATTGCTGTTGAATTGGATTAAAAACGAAATAAGAGAACATATCGATTCTACAGGGTACCCTGCCCTGCTCTGGTCCTGCTGTCTGAATCGAGCAGGGCAGGGTAGACTTTTTATTTTTACTTCTTTTGTTAACAGGGCAGGGCAGGATGTAAAAATTCACCCTGTGGACATCTCTGAACTCCACTAACCTATTTGTATTGAGTAACACTAAAGAAATAAAAGAGAAAAAACTCCTCGTTGTTACTAAATTAATTAAATATTTACCTTTTTATCTCTAACATTCATAACAATTCCTTTTTCAGAATCAATTAAACCAATAAGGTAAGGTTGTTTTGGTATTGTAACCATAAGAGTAATATCTCTATAACCGGGATAACTTAATTTTACATTATGTATATATTCACCGGTCATTGGATCATATAATGCAAGTACTTCCGTATTTTTTTTTTCTTCAATAAAAACAAAATATGTATCATCAGCTGTATAGACAACTTTTTTTGGTTGATTCAAACGTTTCATATTTGAAACGATTTCATAAATAAGATCACCTTCAGGTATTCCATATGACATAGCTCGAACAGTCATACCATTTGGACTACGATTTACTGGTGTATTCACTTCTGCATTTGAAGTAGTTGTTACTGGAGCTGGCTCAGTAGTTAAAACTAATACCTAAAGAAAAACATAAAGAAATAATTTCATTGAAAATATACTCAAAACTATGCTTCTCTACCATTGTTTCAGCTGAATGAAGAAGAAGTTGAAAGACACTTTTTAATGGTGTTATAAATGAAGTTTTTCTTTCCTCAATATCATATATGACAAGATTATTCGATTCAGCTGACACAGCAAATAAACCATTCGCACAGAAAGCTGTGTCTAAAATATGAAAACAAAAATTAGATTTTTGTTTGATTAAAAGAAAGAAAAAAAAAGAAACTGAATTTCTTTTTTCTTGTCTAACATTGATAAATTGATCCATGTGGATTAATAGATAATTGTCCTGTCATAACTCCAGTTTTCATATCAAATAAACATAATTGTGTACGAGATTGTGCCATAATTAATTTAGCATCCGATGATATATGCATCATTTCAATACATTTATCTAATTGTGCTACTGATATAGATTTTTCTTTTGCATTTTGTAAATTCCATACTTTTGTTGTTTTATCTATGCCAGTTGTTATAACATAATTATTTCCACCACTAACAGTTGATAAACATTTTACTACAAGTATACGACCAAAATGTGAGTCGAACGAAGCTACTAAATCACCCCATTGAATTTCAAATACATAAACACTTGATTTTATACATGCTATACAGTAACTACATAGAAAAAATAATTAATAAAAAGAAAAAAAGATAATTAAAACAAAATCATATAAAACATACCGATTATCTTGAGAAAATGCTGCTGTATATGTTAAACGTTTAGCACCACTTACTATATTACGTACACTACCAGGTAATAAACATGTTTTCCATAAATATGATCGAAATGAAAAGATTTTAAAAGCTTTAAATGTAACTGCCATAAGATAAGTTTCATCTTCACTTAAAATTAATGCAAATATGCTAAAAAAACAAGTCAGTATAGAGAAACAACTATTAGAAAATATTTTACAAAAAAGAAAACAAGAATATCTTCGAAATAATATTTACCGATCTTTATTTTCATATAATTGATGATCGAATGCCCATATACGTTGAGTAGCATAATGAACAAGATGTGGTTGATTAAGATACAGTTCAATATTATAATCATTTATTTCACAACATGTATACATACGTTGTTTATCACGTGTTATTACAAGTGCACTATGAATATTTTTTCTACCACCAATTAAACATCGTGAAGAATTAACATTATTGTTTTTATCATTTTCAGAATTATTATTTGGAATAAAAGAGTAATCTATTACTAAACGGTCACGAGCTACATCTTGATCTTCTTTGACATCTTCACTACGGCAAACAATTTCTACTTGTGGTCCTTCTAATACTTCAATTTGTACGATTTGAAAACGTGTTGCTTGTGATGTAAGTAATTCACCTTGAAGAACAAAAGAAAATTAAAGTCAACCATAGATTTTTATCAAAGAAAAACAATTGTCTAATTAAGAGAACAGGTTTGTCTTCTATTGGAGCTCGATAATTCCGAAAAAAAAAACAAAATTATCTAGGACTTGTCAGAAGGAAAAAATCTTTTCACGGACAACTAGTTACAAATAGGATAATGATTCCTGAAAAAATTTGACCTTATTAAAAGTTAATTTTGTATTCGAGAAAAAACATGGTTCAATATCCTGATGTGTGTTTTCATAATGTTTATGATACTAAAACTGTACATGTGTTAAAAACAATGACACAGTAAAAAAATGAAACTTAGAAACTGAAAAAGAAAATTTCGTTGGAACAAAATTTGAATATGAAAATTAACGAGATCTACAAGGACTACTAGATTTCAAAGTTTCCCATTAAATAAAGAAAATAGTCTTACATTTACACTAAAAACGAGATATAAATCTGAAACTTCTTTTTATGTTACTAATTATGTCCACCATTGTTGTAAATGTATCTTATCACAGTTCTAGACAAGTCAAAACTATTGTCCCAATGTTCAAGATGTGTGTGTGTTTATGAAGAGAAAATCTACAACTATACTCACACTTGTCGTCACTTCTGTTTCACTTATGTAAATGTTTACTGTTATCAAAAATGAATACCTTTATTTGTATATACTTGATACATTTTTGCTGTCCACAATACAAAATTAGTATTACTTGCATGTGCACCTAGAAATGGATCAGTTGGTTGTCCACTATTTAGTTTACTAGTTGTTTTAGTTGTATTTCCATCTGGTAGTTTACAATCACGTAAAATAAAATCTCCAGTTAATAAATTACATATAATATATTGATTACTTATTGTTGTTGTTACACAATAACGTTGATCAGGTGCAAGAGCTAAATATGTCATAATACCTTCTATTTTTGGATCAATAATACGTACAATATCACCACTTGATAAATCAAAAACAATAAATCTATTTGATACAGTAAGAAGAGATTGTCCAGATGAAATAACTTCAAGACCATAAACAGCAAATGCATGAGCTTCTAATGAATAAACAAGTGGACCACCAGGTGATGCTAATGTATTAAAAGCTGGTACAAGACCCATTACTTGTAAACCAGTACTTTCACATTGATCAACAAGTGAAGCAATTTTATGACATGTTTTATAAAATGGAAGTAAACGACCAATTATTTGACATGCTAAATTATTTGGATCAGCAGCTAAAACTGAACTTGATAAACGAAGTGCATCACTTATTAATCTAACCTAAAGAAAGTAAGAAAAAATTTTTAAATCAACAATTTTTTTTTTTTTGTGTATTTTATTTTTTACTTCTTTATCATTGACAGATTCTAATGCACTTTCATAATCAAATATACATAAATTTAATGGCATACATGATAATTTTGCATGCATAAAGTCATAGTTAAATAATACATGCTGATATAAATCATCTTCACGTTGTGCACGTATTAATTGATATGGTAATTCACTTAATTTACGTAAATTATAACGAACAGTTGATGTTGTAGAAGTTGTTGCTGTAGCGTCACTGGTTATAAATATAATTGGTTGAGCTGGAACTTTACGATCAGCTTCACTTTCAGCTGCTGCTATGTTAAACATACGTCTTTGGTTATCGGTATATTGAAAAGGTTTTGGATGACCAGCCCATATACCCAGATAATAATCTGCCATACTGGAATGATATACTCGACGTTCATCCGGATTTGCCAAATATCGTTCATGAGAAACTACAACGAATTATTTTCTTAAGCATATTCAAATTAATGTCTAGTCATGATTAATTACGATATATGCTTGTTCTTAATTCCGAAATGCAATGTAACAATTGAAAACTAGTTCAATTGAAGAGTATGTACTAGCGAGTATTATTAATATTGACTAACGATATTTTATAAATGTTAATGAAAGTAAATCGAATTCAAGAAATCCAGATATAGGTAATAAGTTTGCTCGATACTATATTTTTACGACGAATTTTATGGCATGAAAAAAAAAGAACTCATTCGAATAAGACTCGTCTAAAGAAAGTTATTCAAAAATTTGTTTCTATCACATTTCAATAAGTTTTTCAATACTCATTGTTTTTTTCACATATTTTAACTCACGAATGACATCTTTTTGGGTTATTTCTATCGAATTATGATTTATAAGATAATTTGTTTATATTCTTGATGATGGTCGATGTATATATATGTATGTCTAATTTTAAATCAACTTCTACTTAAATCTCTTAAGAAAATTTCAGTGATCTGTGATATTATGCAGGTCATTAATCTGTTACTATGCCATCTGTATATTGAGAGTATGAGTAAAGCCTAATGAGTTCTTCTCGAAATACGATTCAAAATTTTGAACTAGATCGTCTCTCTATCTGGATGTATAAATGTAGTTAAATAGAAGAGAATATTTTATGTCACGATTAGTGTTACCTTCAGCAAATTGTCGATGATACCAACTAACAACACTAACACCATCTGCTTCTCGTTCGACTAAATAATTCGGTATATCATTTCTTATACGTGTCCATAATAATGGTGGTATACGTCGTATTGGTGGTAAATGATATTGATAAATATCATTTAAAACAGTTTCATCAAGTGATATTAAATCTTCTAATTCAGCTTCACTTATACCTGCTCTCGATGCTGTTATATAAGATAATGCATGTTCAACTAATATGTGTCCATGTTGATTTTCAATACGTCCTAATAATTTATTTATTGATGTTGATATTGTTTTAGCTAAATCTTTTTCTTGTATTTTTGTATATGATTTCCATAATTTGATTTCATCAAATACTAATTTAACATATAAAGGAATACTACATTCATCAAGACGTTCATGAACTAATGCCCTGTTTTATTATAGAGAGTTATTAAACATGTATAAAAATTTAAATAAAAAAAAAAAGAAAGGAAGTTCAATTGAACTACAAACCATTGTGGTTCAGATATTGTTCGATGTTGACGAGCTAACCAAGCTTTCAATACTGTTTTACCTAATTCGACACCTAACGGTTTTATCTAAATTCGAAAGAGATCAATAAATATTATTTACAATAAAATATATTTACTTGAATGAAATTTTCTTGACTATCAATTAGATTTCGCAGTGTATTTAATATATTATATATTCCAGGTAGTGTTGAAACAATCTACAATTATCATTTTTTTTTTAAAGTCTTATTTTATAAATGATTTTTTTCTTACGAATTTAACATGATTCGGAAGTATTGGTGGTAGCCAAGACATTGAATGTGCACCATCAGCTGATGATAATTGATCTAATGAATCAAAGAAAATATTCAATGGTTTATCTACTGTCGCTTTTTCTAATAAACGTTTGAAATGATTTATTAATTGAGATAGTTCAGTTGGTATTGTCGTATCCGATACATCGTATACATAATTTATTTGTTGACAAACACTACGTATTAATGGACCAATCGATGAACTATCTGGTGTCGTACCAAGAAAACGAACAAGTCTTATTGGTATGCACTGTCTTGATGAAAACCATGAATTTGATTCTGATACTATTTTTGCTAACATGCTTGATTTACCACAACCACCTTCACCCCATAAAACTAATGGTTGTTTTGAAGAACCTTGAATATAATGACGTACACGTTCTAGAACATCAGTACGTCCTTGAAAATCTTGACTGAAATTATTTACAACATGAAGTTGTTGAAGAATTTCGGAATAGGCACTGATCAAAAAAAAAAACAAAAAGAAATTTATAAAATTAGTTTTTATTTCCCGATTAGATTTTAAAATCAATCGATATTTCTTAATTCTTTTCCGCCATATGATATTATCAATGGTCGACTTATAAAAACTAAACTCAACTTATGAGACACGTTTATCTAATATGAATTGTCGATCAAGCGCAGCTTTTGTTCATAAGAAGGATTGATCAAAACTGAACGAATCCTGTAAAGATGTATCTTCATGCAGAAATCATTGAGATTTATAGTTATTTAATAAGTTTTACAATATCCAAACAAGTATTAAATGAAAGGTTGAATGAAATAATATTCATTTGCTATTTTATCTATGTGAACAGATCTGACAGCTAGTAAATCAAAATGGCGAAATCCGTTTAGAAATATTGAATTGTAACAGAATTTGATTTTTCTGTATTTCTATAAAATTGATTCAATAAAATACTTTAAGTTTAAGAAGAGAAATCCGTATGAGAATTAATCCTTGTATGATTCTTCTAGTTCTAACGAGATGTGGACTTAAGAAAGAGATGCACTCAGTTGATGATTTATATTGGTCAACTTTTCTCGTAAGTTATATCTAGAAGGGTGATTAATTGATTATCATTAATTAAGAATACAAAAAAGCTCTATAAGGCAACTAAGATCAATCATCTTATTGAGAATCCTTTCAACTTATTTCTTTAATAATATACAAATAAAAGTTCGATATTTAATGACTATTAATAAATGAAGACAGAATATTTGAAAGAAAACTGTCAAGCTAAAAAATTTATGACGAAAAGTAAGCTAAAATATGAATATACTAAATATTCTTTTTATTCTTAAATGGGAAAAGACTCAATTATATCATTAATATAAAATAACAAAATTTTAATTATTACCGATTTGATGCTAAACTTTTTTGTTGTCCAACACCACGATCGATTAACTCAACAAGTCGAGTATAAAATGTTTCAATAAAATTTTGTAAGTATTCAGCATGAAAAGTTTTATTTATACCTTCGTCATCAGTCCATGGAATTGTATATCGAATAATACTTGTTTCAGGTAATGCTGCTTGTACCTAAATTTAATTTTCATTCATCGTTATCTCTTTTCTCTTGTTGTTTTGGTTTTTTTTTTTAGTTAATTATTTAACTTACACGAACATCACGTAAATCGGATAACATACGTTGTGCTTCTTCATCAACTTGTTTTGATACAATATCAATAAATTTCATTGAATGACGTAATAAACCGATATTAATATTTTCAATATGACGAAAAAAAGCTAATGTATGATCAACTTTATCTTTAGCATTTAATATTCCTCGAACAACTTCTTGTTCAGTAACTAAATGGAACGAAAATGATTCTATGAAAATAATCATTATATTAACTAACCTGACCAATTATATCGATGATTATCTTGTGGTGTAAATATACCTTGATTTAAAAGTTCTAAAGCAGCTGCACGAACTGCTCGATTCAGTTTACCCATTGTTTCCCACCATTGACTTTGATCTTCTTCCATAAGACGAGGGTGAGCTTTATTAGTAAAATTAGTGAATATTGAACTAACTGGTTGTAAACAAAATAAACTTGGAATATTATTTGAATCAAGTTTATACCATAGACTAAGTAATCGAGCATCATCTGGACTTGATACAGATAAAACTTTATGAAATTCAGCTTCTTCTATTTTTGTTGGTAATGGACGATAACCATATTTTTGTGCAAGAAATACCTATATGAAATAAAATTCTAGAATTCTTTTTTTTTTTGTTGATATCATAAAAAAGATATTCTATACCACAAAATTTGGTCCAACAGAAACTCGTTGACAATTATCTATTTCTTGCATACATAATTCTGTTGTTTTATGATCATCTGTTGCTTCATCTCGTACACCCCAACGCATATCAACAACTTGAAATTCTAGACCATGTTTTTCCCGACAATATTCTTTAAGTTTTGGATATGTATGTTGCATGAGGGAATTACGTTCTACAGTTGTATCTTAAAATATAAGAATTTTTATTTTTATTTTTGTTATCAGCAAAATAAAACATTAATTAATTTACCTGTAAATGTTGATGATGTAAAAATACGTACAATTTTTGAAGCAAGATTTGGTAAATTATGTAAATTCCCATATAAAACATGTCGAATAAGTTCAGCTACTTGTGTTTCAGTAGAATTTGGTTCAGGCATTGTTATATTTCAATATGATTGATAAATAAGAATAGTAAGTCTGGTTTATTTACATTTAATGACGAACATTCTTCTCTATAATATAGAAAGTAAGCTTGAAATTGTGTAAACGATTATAATGAAGAAAGTAAGAAAAGAAAAGAAAATAATGATTAATGATTACATAGTTCTTACCTTTTTTTTTTTTTAATTTTTCTATACTTTTTGTCAAATTACGATCACTGTATTAGATTCTTTTGTAATAAATTAAGAAAATAACGGCATGCAAAAACATCACAAACTTCTAATAATTAAAGTGAAGTTATTCTTTGTTCAATAGTTTAAAGTAATTGTATTTGTTAACTTTTTTTTCTCGATGTACATTATTAATGATCGAAACGATATTGATAATGAGAATCGAAAGCTCAATATTTATAGAACCAATATTGTTACTCTGAATAAGAGTATTTTGTTTTGAAAGATGAAATTGCTATTGATTCATTTTATCGTCTACACTCAACACTTCTATATACAATTAAGATTTCATAATAGAATTTTATTCGATTTTTATAATATTCTTTTAGCAAATATTTCACTATGAATTCAGAATTACATTGAAGTAAAGATTTTCTGAAGATAGTTGTATTTCCTGGATGTCGTGTTCCGCTCTTACTCTCAATTTGTACGAAGCTACTTAGAAGAATATCAGTTACAATGCAATCCTACATGTATGATTGAACGCTTGCTAAGTAACTGTATGAGATGATGTTTATATGTTTGATCATGTTCAATACATAAACTTTTAATCATACCCCATACAATAGGACGCATTTTCTACTTCATTAGAGTGTCGCATATTTTGCTTTTCATGGTACATTCTTTCATGAAAGAGACACAATAGAACAGAAGAAATAATGGCACTAATTATAAAGAGAGAAAGTTCTCAAATTAAGGACTTCAACTAATCCATACCAAGTTCGTGCTAATATTTTAGTTGCATGTAAGAAAATTTATCCTATGAAAAGCTTAAGAGGATTCGAGTTCACGCAATATGTTTCAATGCATCTTGTATGATTCGTTTGAAAACTACTCTCTGTTTTCACAAGTTTAAATTCTATATGATTAACGGAAGTTGATGTGATTGACATCAAAAGAATATCCTAAAGATAGATCAAGAGAGAAACGAATAAAATCAGATTTCTTTGTGATTTAAAAGATTATGCATTTGAGCATACAGACTCTCATGATTACCGTATGTAAACGTATGCTATGTATATAAGCAATGCCCTGAATGACTTGAAGAAGTAGAATAAAGCTTTATATCAGCAGCACTAGTAGTAATTTTTCTAGCAAAAATAGTTGTTAGAACAAACTTTGTTGAATTAAAATGTAAAACTCCATGTAGTTGTTCTAGTCAATCATACGAAAATTGTTTTATTGGATCTATTTTCATCCTAAATTTTTCATCTTGTTTCGTTTAATGCCTTAAAACTGTACACAGAAAGCAATTCATATGTTCTGATAGAATGTTAGATATAGTTGGCTCTTGAGGGTGTGAGCGACGTCGAAAGATCGATGATATAGTATTTTCTAAACACTACAGAGAGTTTCAATCGGAGTATTGTATGTACCTCTTCATTTTGAAAATGCGCTTTCCGACACTGACATTTTAGTTCTGCAGGAGTTGGAGAAACAGCTTTTACATACTATTGAATTATTGAGGTTTTTGTGTAAGAAAATAAACAACAGTTGAAACCTTATCGTTCATCAACTATCACCGTAAGTTTCAATCGATTTTGTTAAACGAGATTGATATTACATTAATTAAGAAGACATTTTATCATCTTATTCGTGTGATTCAACTATGTGTTTTTTGCTTGACATGAGATTTTCAGTGGTCATTCAATTGAAGAATTGCTCAGACAATTTTTCGTATGATTATTAGATGGTTTTATCTTGGTTGGCAAAAAGAACACAGATTGAATCGATGAAGCACGATGTGGCAACCTCTTTTTTCTCTTCTATTTTTGACATTCATTTTTAAACATGATGAAGAGTTACATATTTTGTTCCTGCCCCTATATAGTTATAGACTCTATGCTTGTCATCATAGCGATGACAAAAGTTTTGAATCGAGTGTCAACTATGAAAATCAGTTCACCATTGTAATTGCATTGTAATTGTATTGGTGGCATACAAGCATTTTTTTCTTGTGATTCTTTGGATATATTTTTCGGATGCCGACAAAGATAAGAAGGGTGTGGGTGTGGGTGGGTGAGTGTACGTGTGCATGTTGCCTTCTGTTCATTCACACTCACACCCACACCCCACTCTGGAGTATGTCATTTTCGATGTTATAAAAGACTCTGCAATTAATAAATATGAATCTTACTTCTTCATCAAATTGTCGACTTATTCTAGCATTGCAGTGTACATACAAATTGAGAACATTTATATGATATATAGTTGTCAAAATGATCTGAACAATTCGTATGTAGAAAAGAAGTATACTTCAATTACCTGCTAAAAATATGACTGATCTTCGTACATTGACTTATCGATATTAAAGAGATTACTGTAAGATTTATTTTTATTCATCATCGGTCCATGATAAACTTGCTGCATGGTTAAGAGATAATTTACTCTAGGAATTGAAATATGAAACTTCCAAAAGATAATGGCGTCCTTCCATTTATATAAATATGTGTTGATAGAAGATCAAAGAATATTTAAAATATTGAGGTCATACGTAGGATGGACAATAGCAAACTATTGATATTTATCAAATGATTTAGTTCATTTCCTTGATGATTATTCCATTATTAACCTATTTGGTGGAACACGATGGGTAATTAATTTTGAGCTAAATATCCTCTCTCATCGACTGAATTTCGCCAAGAAGTAAAAGCACTATTCTATAAAACACAGGAAAAAGATGTTTATATGAAGCCTATAGCCAGTATACTATTTCTAAAATTAACAAGCCAAAAAAAACTCATAAAGAAAAGGTGAATTCAGATACTTTCAATGTCTTGCGTTTGGCATTTGTCTTAATAAAGGAAAGTTACAAAATCCATAATCCAAAGAGAACAATGCGTTGTTTACACTATCAATTTCTGTCTAACTTAGTTTAAAATAATAAAATTCAAAGTTTGTGTAGATCAAAGTGTGGGATTATATCAACTTTCCATACTTCCTAAAATTGCTTTAACTATTTTTGTTTTCATAGAAGAGAATATTTAATTTTAAAAACTAAACTGATTATTAGATAGCATTGAAAATTTTCTGCTAGTTTATTACTTCGATTAAAGAGCATTTTCAAGTGAATTTTTTGACAAAGACATCTTATTTTCTCTTCAACACGTGAGAAATTCTCTGTTAGTCATTCATCGAAAAACAGGATTGTTATAGTAAATATGCCGTCATCAAAGCATGTAAAAGTTGCTTTCGATAATGGATTATTCAGGTCATGTTGTTTTTTTCCTGTACACCATTTAGCACAAAAAAGACTACTGTCATAATGCATAAAAAAATGACTATACCGTGCTTATCAACATTTGTCGATTCTGACGTCACTTTGTCTGAACATTGACAGGAAGCTGAGTTTTTGAAAGTTCGTATAAACCAACCAGCAATATGAACTTGTGAATATACATTCCGCATAAAAATTCGACTGAGATCCGTCCATACTTTGAAAAATGCGACTCACCAGGATCTGTAAGTCGAAAATAGTTATGTAACTTGTTATTTCATAGTTTTATTTCATTGTTTTTATGCACAAGTACTATGCTGGTATTGCAAATGATTGTATTCTCTATTGATATTAACTCATTGGTATCTGCATCGCGCGATCATTTATCCATGCATGCAAAAATCCGTGCTACCAAGTCCTCATCAGATGATATCTTTCATATTCGAGAAGAAGCTAACAATTTCTTATCAAACACAAAGTGCGTTCGTTGTGGATTCAGAAACACGGAGCATAATTCGATTCATAGATCAGAGCATCGAAAAGAATAATAGGAACAATAGAAAAACTAACACTCTTTAGAGCATTAAAAACATTCTATAAAAACTTCGTGGGTACACAACAGATAGAGTGTGGGTGTTTCGCTAAGGTGTGATTGTGGATGGATGTGAGTGTGAGTGTGAGTAGGGATTATCTCTTCATTTACATCCACATCCTGAATTATTTATGAAAGTTTTAAGAATGACGAAAAAAAACACATTTCAGATTATTTTAGCTGTTCATCGGCTTGTTGCATAATGGTCATGCAAAGTGCAAGTTGTTTCTGTTCTAAATGATATTTCACTTGACTGAGTATGGTAATTTTTGTCAAATCAGGATCATCCGAATAGTATACTCGATAAATATGATATTTCATTGGATTTTCAAGTAGACATTGAATTTCGCGAATCGATATTTGAAATGTATGCTGATCAGAAATTCGAGTTGTTTTTACTTCGATTCTTTCAATATCATCATTTTTTCTTATTTCAATATCGTATGGTTCACCTGATTCTTTTCGTTCATTCATCCATTTGACTTGTTTATCAGGATGTTTCCATTTTAGAAAATTAAAAACAAGTTCTTCACCTTGACGACCGGTATTATTATCAACGATGTTATCAGCAGGATTAATTGTAATTGAAGATGACGATAATATATAGAGCTTTGTGCCAGTTAGAGTGGAAATTCGAATACGTTGAAATTTGGCTACTTCAACCGAAGTAGAATTCGAACAGCCAATGGTTGTGACTTGAGATCGATCCTTGTGAGTCGATTCTCTAGTCTTTTTATCTATTTGAAAAGAAGAGCACAGTGAAAAATAATATTCTTTCAAGTAGGAATTTACCTTTTATCAAATGGTTGCTTTCTGGTTCTCTTGATACTTCTGATATCGAATCAGACGATGGTGAGTGATTAGACGTTGCAACACTAGTTGCATTCGTTGATTGTCTTTGTTCTCCTGGATGAGATTTTGTATTTGAAAATTCTATGGATTCAGTAGTATTTGCTTTAGAAGGAAAACAAGTCGGATTTTTCTCCTCGTCTTTTTCCATTGTTATTTGTGATCGAGGTTTTCGTTCGGGCAACGGCTCATTCATCAATTTTTCAGTCATTTCATCGGTTATATCGATCGGTTCGTCGTTCACTGAAATTTCTTCGATAGGCGGTGGTGATGGAGTCACATAGACATTAGGAAATATCCATTTGTATTCATGTTCTTGAGTAGTGATCATATCACGTTGCTTTATCAAGCCTTGTTCGCCCTCATTCTGAAAGATTCGTGATAGTTTCATTATAAAGGATGTCAGTTCGGTTGCGGCCATCCGATCTTGAACAAGATATTTGACCATAGTCTCGATGTAACGTATCTCGGATTTTTCGAATACTTTTAAAATATAGAATCGTCCTGCGCGTTCATCAACATAAGCATCACACATTTCGGTTCGTAAAGTATGAGCCTGATAGTGATATGAAAGTTGAATTTGATCAACACGAAAAAAATGCATACGAGCAAAAATTGATGTCAAATATTTTGAACGCTCTTCGGCTATGAACGATTTAGAAACAAGAAAATGTTGAATGAGTGCAATCGAATGAGAATAGAAATTGAATAAATCTATGGATAATTGTTCATTAGTGACATGGACTTGTAATTGAATAACATCTGCTAGACTTCGAATTTCGAAGAGTAAACAAAAATTGTGTTTGAATTCAGAAGACAGAGTCCAATCTAACGAAACAAAAGACTTATTTAAAATCAGTATGTTAGTCTCAATTCTATTTACTCGGTAATTGAATAATTGGTAATGTATTTGATAAGAAATCAGCAATATCAGGATCATGTGGATACAATGGTTGATCTGTATATTTGACTCTCATATTCTTCGTACCCATACATGGAATAAACCGTAAATGTAGACATCTATCTATATAGAATATATAATATTTTAATTGTAATGATCTTTAATATAATAAGTGCATAGTTATTACCTTTAACTTCTATCTGTCGCTGTTGTTGAAATGCTAATCGTAGGATCACTTCAATAAGTCGCCAGATATCATTTATATTTGATATTTGTATCAAAAATGGAAGATAATCATCGATCGTAGGTTCAATGTTAACCTGTAGTGTGTCAACAAAGAATTTTTTAAATTTACCATCATTACTATAGTATCGTTGAATAGAGATACGACGATCTGAATTCGGCAAAGTGGCATTATCCAGTTTCGACAATAACGATGTTGAGTCCTGCCAATAGACTCGATGAGCAAATAAAAATTCACCTCTACTATTGTTTCGTGGTACAAATACTAATGGCCACAATCGAAAACAACGTAAAGCATTGAGAGTAGTATTGTCGGCCATAAGAAAACAATAGACACGATAAATATTTTGAATTGTATCATAACACGATTGACGAAAAGTTACTGGTAGCGGACATTGTATTCTAAAAGAGACAACGAATGTCAATTACGATTTATTCAAAAGAATCAATTCAATGTTATCGACAAAACTTTGTTATAAAAAGAAACAGATATGTTGTAACTGATTGATTGTGTAATAACCAGTCAAAAATAAAAATTGCTGTTCGAATTTGAATATACCGTATTTTCAAAAGGTATACCAGCTCAAAAGAGAGATAGTAAAACTTTTACAAAAATTCACTATAGTTTCCCCAGGGTCATACGAAATTCTTGATAGTGAGCGATTTTTCTTTAGATAGCATTAACTGAAGTTCAATTACCAGTAACTTTCACATATGAATACTCATCAATTGAAGATAAATACTCGTTTTGACAATACATTTAGAGTATTACTAGAACTTTGCACTCTAATAATGATACGATTCATGCTACGGAGATTTTTCTTGTGAAAACCTTCAATAATACTCACATATCCAACTGATTCGTATCACTCAATAGCATCCATAATGCATCACGATCAAGATCACACGACCATTTCATGAATAGCTCAAACATGGTCGTAGGTAATACATGTTCTTGAAGTCCAAGTATGTTCAATATAAAATCTCGATTGTTCAATGATACTTTACTTTGATCCAAATGTGATACATAACGATGAAAGAATGATGTTTCACTTTTCGGAGATAAACAATAGACATCATCTGGTTTAGCTAATTTACCACCTTCAATCGGTATCCAAGCATGTTGTCTCAAAGATAAACAAAATGTTGATGGGATATTTTTTTCCGGTCGCCTTCGTCCAGATTTGACTTGATCAGCTAAAATTATTGATGCTGTATACCATGGAGCAAGTGCTGCATGATGACGATCTAAATAGATCAATAATTTTGAGTATAAATCGATATCAGCAGCAGTATTATTGGATGGTGCAACAAGTATGTTAAATTCATTGCAACAACAATCTTCGATTATGAATGGTTGACGAATTATATCATTTAATTCTGGAATTAAATAAGCCCATTGAGTTGTTTGAAGTTGAGCAACATTAATAAAGTCTAAATAAAAAACTTATAATAGATATGATCTAATACTTTAAATACTTACGTGTATCAGTTATGTTAGTTTGAAGAGACTCGATGATATTGAGTTGCCCAAGAAATCGAACAAAATTATCTATATCGTCTTTCGTACGAAATAATTCATTACGATAAGTATTTATATAATCATCTGAGATAAATGTGAATTCATGTTTCGATGATACCAATGATTCTAGTGATTTTGTACATCCATATGTAGATGTCAAATGAATGACAGTACCTAATGTATCGAGACGAACAAATTGACCACTGCGTGTTTTAATAACCATATGCTTTTTCAATTGATCAATTTCATTTTCGAATTGATCAAGATGTGTATAAATACATAAGAGAAAAGCAATAAGAACAGAATCAGATTTAGTTGACCAACGATTTACATCCAAAAGTATAGGTCGCATGTATAATCGATAGATTTCCTTAATCGTAGGTGTTTCGATTAAACCTGTATCATCAATGTTTTTTTTTTATAAATATAACAGGAAAAATCTTCTAATACTTACCAAGTCTTTTAAGTAGATTTACAATTGATTCATATCGTCGTGGAAATTTATCTTCGATATATTGAAGTAATCGCTCGTCGAGTGTAGGTAAATCATTAAGTACGATCTTGAACGATTTCGTATATTGTGCTGTTTTCGATAATGGAAAAAGTATCACTTGTTCATAATATTCATCAATCGATACTAATCGAGAATGACCATTTAATGGAATAATTTTCAATTGTTTTAATTCGGTTATAGACGTAGTTTCAACTCGTTCATTATGACTACCACGTGTTTGTTCACTCTCTTGCTGTTGTTGAAGAATGTAGTCGATACAGAGTAACCATTGAGCAACTAAAGTAGAACTTAATTATTTTGTAAAACAATTTCAAAAAAAAAAACAATATCTTTTTGAATGTATACAAGTAGAGTTCAATTGATTCGTTGAATGCTTATAAAATAAATGTTGGTCAAAATTGTGAGTTTTTCTTTTTGGTACAATGTATAAAACATTAACTTTTTAAATTCACCAAAATTTATGATAAAAAAAAGGAAATCTCTTACATTATTAGATGCATGATTTTATTCGTATCAGTATGATATAAGTGCGTTGTTTTAATTAAAAATATCTGTAATATTTTTGATTTTCTCTCATCGTTGTAGTTGGAAATTTTTAATAAATATGAATTTTGGATCAAAATGAAAAATTTGTTTGAAAAAAAAGCACTCAGCAGTTTTATAGAGCAATTGAATTTAAATATCGTCCTCAAATGCTTTTTCTAAAAGCAGAACATAAAAGTTCTCGAATTCGGACATATAACTCAGATATGTTACGATTAGATAACTGAAATAATTCTCTGTCACCAAGAATCAATAAAGTAACTCTATTATATATATGAGCATCTATGCAATATAGGTGGATCTGAAGATTCTTTTTAAATAATAAGTACACCTTCCATGGGTACAAATGTTATTGACTCACTTTGCTCAATACTGGATGTCTTCGTAGAGTGTTCTTGTTCTTGATGTTTGTACAATTCTTTGATAAGTCGAATAATGGAAGAAAATTGTAACGGAGCACAACCTAGTTTAATTAGAGTACGCTCATTACATTCGGATGCCAACTTTTCAGGTACGTAATACATATTAAAATGAGATAAAAGTAAGTCTTGAGGAAGAATCTTTCGTATAAATGGATCTTTTACAAGAATACATTGTGAAGGTTGAACCCATTCAGTATGTAATCGACCACTGGTATCTTCTCGACATACAGGTAATTTAATAACACCCATGAGTAGTTTCATGCTCTTATCAACGAATGGATTAAAGTATGGATCAAGTTCATTACGAGAAGGAATAAGCTTAAGAAAATAGATTAACACTTGAACAGCTGTCAATTGACTGCCGATTTCTATTGAAGACAATGATGATGCAAGAAGATCAGGTAGAGTTTGAAAGTGTGTATATGCCAAAGGAATAAGTTGAACCATTTCATTTTTGAGCCATTCATTCCATATGTTGTCATGAAGAATTTCTTGTCGTGTAACAGGTATTTCGAAATCAGCCTGAAGAATAAAACGAAACCCGTACGAACGAAGTGGTAAATAGGCGAAGAGAGGTTGAGCTGGTGGCAATTGTTGAATTGAGTTTTGAAGATTATTTAGTGGATAAGCAATAGCAATTGTTGTCGAGTGTACGTCACATTTGACTTCGCATAGTTTCTCCTGAAATATGAATTATTTAATATAGTTCTAAAGCAAACTCAAAACGTTCTATCACCTTGACATGTTCTGGTACTTGAAGCACTTTCTTGACGACAAGCCATAAATTTGTGGTAACTGTTCCATTTGTTGTCGTTTCTTGTAGTTCAATTATTTTCCCATCAGCATGATCGATTCTAGTGAAAATACGACTTCGATCACTAGTCGTAGCGCTTGACAGTTGACCCACAATTTCAATACGTCGTAAACGATTCAGAAACAGTAATAGTTTTGCTTGAATGTTATCGAAATTTTCTTCGAGTCGACTTCCTCGTTGAATTGGTAAACGAATACATGTTGTCCATTCTTCAGCAGACGGTAATACTTCATCACATTTATCTAACCAAATCGGACGAATATATCCTATTTGTTCCTTACCATCGGCAGTATCAAAACAGAAATGATAGTCACGTGAATGAATCTCAGGACGATTAGATACCATGAAGACAGACTTGAATCCAATGCCTAGAAATTAAAATTCTTCTAGTTATTTCCATTTTCACATCAAACAATGCTCTACCTTTATGTCCAGCATAGCCTTGCTTGTGTTTACCTTTGGTTGTTGCACCTACGTTACAGATGGCATCAACGTTATTCGGTTGAAAACCAATTTCATTGTTACAAACTAAGATTCGTTTATCTGATAGAACAAAACGAAGTGTTGGCAAACGATCAGACGCATATTGATTGTCATCAGCATTTTGAATGAGTTCCAAGACGAAATGACCCTGTTCTGAATATAAATCGTGGGACAATTTTTGTAAGCTTCGTTCAATCATTCCTTGAAGATTGTTAACAATCGATTGACCACTTGCATCGAGACCACTGTCGACACCGAAACCACGTCGAATCGATTCGATATGTTCGAATGCAGCTTGAACTGATTGATTTTCATCCTTGTTCTTTGTTTCAAGTGAAGTCGAATCGGACTGGCTGAGTGGGGATGTAACATGTGGTGCAACTGTTAATGTTGTTGGCTTATCAGCATTGTCTGTGAAGAAAATAACACGAATTCATAATACATCGTAAATAAATATTATAAACATTAGAACACAAAACTTTTCAGCAGTATTCTCTATATACAAATTTAATAAGTGCACGCAAACCTTTAGAACCTCACAAAAATATGTCTTTTTCATTAACAATCCAGTATGAACATATTTAATTAGCATTGAATTGAAACACAAAAGACAAATAAGTAACAATCGTTTAGAGCAAATTCATCAAATCATACTATAATCGAGAAACATGACTATTGAGGATAGAAATTTTCTCACTCGTATGAATTCAATTTGTAAAACATCTTTTTTGATTAGTTCACAATCAAAATTTTTGTTACCTTGAACTATGGTTCCGTTTGAAGTCGATCTAGTGTCCGATGATGGTTCAAGAAAATACACTCTATCTTCGACCGTACGATATTCTCCAGACCATTTACTGTTATTCTTCCATTCGTTGATATCGAGTGTATGACCCCAAATTTCTAATTTATTTCTTTGTCTTTCATCTGCTATGTTCCATATTCTTGTTCGTGCACTAACTGAATTTATTCCAACCCTTCGGAATACATCGTCGAGTGGTCCCAATATTATTTCTTGAATAAGTCGTGCTTGTCCAATGAATACTGGTAGATAGGTTAGAAATTCGAGTATGTATTTCATTGGTTCTCCATTATTATCTTGTATCATAGCTGATGATTGTAGATGGATAAACCATGTACGTATGGATGTTCGATAAACATTCAATGGAACTCGAGCAGTTAAACCATACTCACAATTGATTAATGTACATAAGTGACCAACAGCAGAGCGTACATGAAAAGCATGCAATTCATCCTCAAAGCTCTTTAGAGTAGCATCAGCAGGCAATCGAAGGCGTTCATGTGCTGATGTTTCAAGTAACAATAGATTTTGTAATGGATACTTATGCTTTCTAATAAATGTTTTTAAATTGCCATATTTTGGTTCGAAGAAATAAGTCCATTGTAACCACGTATACATATCGATCATGATTGGACATTGAAGAATAAATTGACATAATTGATTTTCGTCTGCAATCGGCATTGGTGGACATATATCAATTCGATTAAGTTGATTGAAATCCAAAAGTGATTCTTCAAAACTAAAATAAATTTTTTGTGCCGAGTGTCTATAAACAAATATTATGCTTACCGAATAATTGAATATTCTGTTTTTGTACGTAATTGTTTGACTTTTCTAAGAATACTGGCTCCCGTTTGAAAACCATGTAGGCCACCAAATTTATGTATTATCGCTTTTTCCAATATTGGCAGATTATCAGCACTAATTTGAATATCTTCATTGTTGAAATCCATATCGAACTGTAACGATTGTGAAGATACAAATTGTCTGTCATTATTCGATTCGATCAATTGTTTAACAAATTCGTACAATTCTTCTCGATCCATTCTGGCTACATTATATCCGTAAACGGACAGTTCGCCTTTTGGATCGATTAATTTTTGATGAGTATCAAGAAAAGAAACTAAGTTGACATCAGTATCATGCATATCGTTTTCATTGAATTTAAACGCATCAAAACTATCAACATTATATTTCGTGCAAAGATGATTTTCAAGTTGCAGAAACTGTTTGACTGTAAGAGTTGTTTCATGCTTCATCAGAATTTCAGAAAGATAGGAACAGAATTTCTTCAGACTTACAGATAATTTTGATTTGCCACCAGTGGCTGGTAGCAATGTATTGACTATTGGAAATGAAGAATTGTTCATTGGTGTTGGCTATAATCAAATATAAACTCATTTGTATTTTAAACAGAGAAGGTAAAATCGAATATCAAAATCCATATCGATAAAATTGGAAAATTCCAAACAAGAAAACAACTGATTACGTAACTATGGCATAAAACAAATAGCACTATCAATATTAAAAGAATTAGTTGAATCATTTATGAAAAAGTCTACTTTCAATAAACAATCCAATCGAAATTTTCTAGAGTAAAGTCATATGTAGAATGTCTGATTCTAACCTCAAAACAGAGCTCCTGACAAATTTAAATGAGAATATAACTCACATTGTACCCAATAGTCAACTGATTGTATTGCTGTTGTATCATAGTCTGTAGTCGACCGTAATCCATCTGACTTATATTCGGATTCGACGGTAGACTTTGATAAAGCATCATCAATGTTTGTAATCTCAAATGATCACTTTGATGACGACAAATTTTATCAAGTTCAACAGCAAATAAATCAGGTCTTTCGAAACCGCCCAAATAGATACTAATATTCAATAGCCATTGAAGTAGTTCATTTTGACGAAGTTGAATCAGTGTGTAGTAGGCAAGCGATTGTTCAGGTATAAACGAAAGATATTTTTCGACTATTGAAGCTAAATGAATGAATACTGCTATAGGAGATTTTTTCTTGTTGTATGATGAGGGTCCGAGTTCACCATGTATTTCTTGCCGAAAATCTGATAAACGTGCAGCAATAGTACTAGTCAAATCCTCTACTGCTTTTGTTTGCATTTCACTTATATACCATTGAGAGTTCCGTCTTACATAACCAGAAACCTAGAATAATATCATAGATTATACAACAATGAAACACAACGTTCATACTTGCACCAAGAATGGAAATGATTTACAATAGAGACCCAGTTCTTTTCGTGATTGTAATCGATAAGACTTGACAAGCTCATCAAGAAAATCACCAAATGCTAAGTTTCGCTTGAATTTTGCTTGAAAATTAATGAATGATGAAATGACATCGCTACTAGTCATAATTGGAATTGGTTGATGGCGTTGAGTTGGTTCATAACGGAATACTCGTTTTACATCCGGATTTTCATCGAGTGGACCCAAATGTGCGTCTTCAAAAGTATTAACATTGAGAAATTTGGCTATGATCGGTTCAAGATCGTGCAATGTGCATAGCATGAAAATTTGTTCGAAGATTTGCATAAAGAACTTCACTTTTTTCAATCGTTCAGTTAGGTTTACTAGAGGACTGAGTTCACCGGGACGAACACCTAGCTGTAACCAAGAGTTGACACGGAAATAAGTAAACAATTCATTTTCAACACGTTCACGTGAAACGAATTCTTTTCTTCCATGAAGAATTAAAATGATTTCGGATAACTTTCGAAGAATATCTTGTTGATATGAAAATCTGTATTGAGGTATCGGAGGATCTGACAAAAATAAGAATGAATTTATATATCAATGAATTACGCGAATGTTAAAGATTACTTTCATTTATCACATTGGATTGAATGGGCATTGTTGGAATATTAGAAACGAAGGTTACGGGTATAAAACCTGCCGAATATTTGTTTGATGATTGTGATATTGAATTTGACAATATTTTCGATGCTTGAGAGTTTCCTGCTGCTTGTGACGACTGGTTCTTGCATTTATTGTTATGTGCTACAATATATCACATTTCATTTCGAATAAAGAAAAAAAAAACTTAATTTGAGTGGTTGTTAAAATCGAACGATCACACTAATATGTAACATATGTGATTCTAGTGAATCGTTTGTCTTACTCGTTGTTGTTTGTTGTGGAACACGGGATGATTGGTTCTGGAAAAAATAAAAGAAAAATAAATAGATGTCAGAAAAGAGAGCAGCAACACAGACTTCGAAAGAAGAGCGACTGCTGTCAGAAGGTTGATTTGACAGTGATTTAGGTAGCGGTGGGAAACATTCGTCGTAATGATCACCTAGCTGAAACGTTGTTTCAGAACTTGTTGATGGTTGAGTTACGATCTGAGTGTTTTGGGATTGTTGGTCTGATTCTTTACGTTGTTTTTTCGATTTTTTGCCACGATCTTTTGAAAATTCGGTAGCACTCATGGCAACAAATCACTGAAATAGGGATGGAAAAAGTCAATGAAGTTGTCTATGAGTGTATGTGAGTTGTAGTCTCAGTATCATTGATAAGTATCTTATGATCACACATCTCACACGTACATCTTTCATTCCTATTTTAATTACCATTTATTATTCGAAATTGCTTTCTATTTAGCAAAACATTATTGACAGAGTAACAGCAAAGCAACCGACCAAAAAAGTAATTAATGATGTAACTGTATCTACTATAGAGCAAAAATGATTGGAAATTTTTCAGAGACAGAATCTTAAAACATTTTTCAAGTTATACTGGAACTTAAAAACATATTAAAATAATTTTTGCTTTTTCGTTTTACCATGTTTGCCATTAGACTGAGTTTTTTTCGATTTACATATTCTGTCACGAATATGTTTAGACGAGCTGCGCGTAGATAGTTAAATACAATAACACAGGTAGATAATTTGTAAAACATAGGTGTCATACAGAAGAAAAAAAATAAAAATACATGTGTGAAAAAGTATCAGAACCTAAAAGGAACTGAAGAAGAAGTAGATTTCTTGATTGTGAAATACATCGTATATTGAACTCATATATGCTATATGATTGATAAAACTTGGTATTCTCCAACTCCTTATCTATTTTACAGAATGTTCTTGAAGTTCACTTATACAACAATCATATGAGTCGTAAAAACAAAGAAGATTTATTCTCAATCTAAGAAAACAAAGTTTCTGTTATCAACACAAGATACATAAGTAAAAGGCTACAAAACTGAAGAATTTCAACAATAATTCTCACATTGTAGCCGTATACTCTTATTCCTTAATATTCTTATCAGTATTGAGACGCCGCTCTTCGTTTTAGGGAAAAATACGAGTCAGAAGAAAACACAGAAGCAATGATGAACGCATGAATGGAGAAACTCTATTCTCAGACTATAAATTCATTAGTAAATCACAGAGCAACAAGGAATGCGAAGGTATAAGAACCATTGCATTTTGGCGGTTTCCATATGAATCATCAATTATTGGGATGTTTTCTATTTGCAAAAGTTTTAGCGAATTGTATTTCTTCATTATAGCGTTTATTTATTTTCTGAACTCGTTCGTACTCATTAATACATTAGAATCACAACTATATGTATACGTGGATTGACGATGGGCTATGGATGATTTTATATTCAGTCTATCTTAATTTTTCAATTCTTATTGATCCAGATATGATTTTCATTATTAAAACAAATATAGGAGTTATGAAAATCAATAGAGAACATTTATAAGCTATTGATGTAATTTTACTTTGTAGAAGGTTTCCAAAAGATGATACACAGAATATCCACTTTTTTAAATATTTATCTTTTCATTCAGCTCTAATATTGACTAGTCGTATATGATTAATGTGCTGACGCATTTTAATAATTTTAATGGATGAAATTCTCTTGAAATGTATGAACTATATTTGAATAAAATTTAATTTAAGATACATTTATGGTAGAAAAGACAAAGAGATTATATGGATATCGAAAGAACATTTGACCATATACTCTAAGACTCAGGCGTATCGCTTTAACTAATTCTTCTTCACTTGTAAAACATGTTTGTTCTACATTCTTGAACCATTCTGTAAAATACTTTTGAACTAATTAAGCACTTCTGCATGCTTCGTTGTTTCTTAAAGAAACTTTCTTGTCTAATCTATCCATTGAATATACTAAAATAATAGTTTTTCTATTGTTGTTAAACCAAACAAAATGCTATAACCATCGAGCGATATATAGCTATCTCATTCATGTTTTTGAAACTTCTTAGTCTTATACTGAGAAGCGACGATTGTTTCTTATTTCCTGTGCATAGGAAATCATTTGTTTTTTTTTACAGTCGTCGCTGCTGATCTACACTTACACTACTTAATGAAAACATTTTCTGGTGTAAACATAAAAAATTATAGTTAAATAATATTAACTTACATTGTTAGGCGAAACCAAAGTCAATAATGATTAATAAAGACAATGAACCTTAACTAAATTTTAAATTCTGTTAGATCAAATGTAGACAATGTGTCTGTCTATACTTTTGTTGTTGCGTATGTAGATTAGGTGGTCGTCTGTTTCACCATTCTTTTTATCGGCAACTAGACAGAATATTTATCACAAGCAAACTAAAACTTGTTTGAGAGTAAGTCTGTTGTGATAAAAACATGTCAACAAGAAAGGTTATGGCACATGTCGAAAAAAATGTCAATGAATCATAGATATGCCTAACGATACGTGTTATATGTGAAATAAGATATTTAATAACATTTGATAACAATCACAATAATTAAACCGAGAAACAAAAACTGAAATTAGACAATCGAACTAATCATTTTATGTGTTAAGACCATACTAGATGTCAACCATAGCAAATTTCATTTTCGATATTTTGAAACAAGAGAAATGTTGAAGCTTGTCAAAAGAGACGAAAGACAAATAGGAATGAAAATAAACTTCATTTTCCTGTAAATCCCGACTCTAACTTTATTTCAAAGCATTAACAAATGGTTTTTCATGAAGAAAAACTCGCTAAAAACAAATCCTTTTCTTAGCTAACACGAGATCGATCTACAGCGACAGAATATGGATAATAGAAAATTCGAAAAATGTCACACTCCTTCTCTCTGATTTTTTTTAAAGTAAAGAACATGGTATCATGCCTAAAGACATTCTTTTTAAAAATGAAAACAAGAAATTGCATTTGATGACTCATCAAATCAAGAATGGCACAGTTGACAGATGTATGTGTTACTGTGCCGACATATTTTTTTTAAATCTTACTCAAGTATTTTGATGTTGGTATATTTGTTTTTCTTTTCATATGATTGATTCAAGACTGTCAAGTTGATAGAGATGTACTTTTCTCCACGCTAAATTAACCATAATTTTCAGGGGTTTCGCAAAGTCGATAATATAGAAAGTCGTTAAAAAGATTTTTCTAAAGATGATCGAACTTTGGGGGTACAAGCCTTTTTTGGTAAATGTTGAGCAAAAAACAGAACGAAAATTTTTCAAGACTGGGAGGTCATCTCGTGATAGTTTGCAAGACTTTTTCTTAAACTAAAAAGAATTTATTTCGAATAATCTCTATCGAGGAAGAAATTATTTTAATAACGAAGCTGACTATACTCAATTAACATTAATTAATAAGTTTTTTATTTTTTTGTTCAAAATAGCCTGTCATATTTTCTCATCGATTTTTTACTAGTACTTACCTGATTGACGAAAGTATATTGGACGATGAATAATCTTTTAAATTTTCGTTCGAGAAGCACGACTCAGTCTTGTGGCATAAGAGTAGAATTCGCTTTTATTTCGATTTGTGTATAATGTCTGTTGGTGTGAATAAAGAAAGAAATGCATAGTTCGTCATTCACTTGTAGAGTTTCTTTTCTGTGTAAGTGAAAACGAAAAATCAAATCGACAATAGATTTCTATGGTATTTACAATAGTCAAAAATATTGTTGACTTTTTTTTTTGAATGATTCATTCGATGCAAAATACACTACAGCTTTTCGAGTAAATACGAATGCAACTGATTGAATTAATTCTACGGACGTGGGTGGGATATTGAATTAGAGCGGACTCACCCGCACCCAAATCGGGATGATATGGGAAAATGCGAAATCCATCTTAAACCTGTATTTTAATGATTATTTTTGGTTTAGGATTATTGCTGAATAATTGGTATTATGGTACCTGCTACTTTGGTATGTCTCGATCGGATTAGTGTAGAAGAACAATAATTGAAAGCATATTTTGGATCAAATTATGACGAATATGTGCGACAAGAGCTAGCTAAACTCGTTCTCTATGTCTTTTAAATGTATGAGTGAGACAATGTGATACTGCCAGTCATTGATCGTTTCTCGTAGAATTGAGAAGTTTTCATTTTTCCATACTATATATGTATCTGAAAAATAATTGTTTTTCAAAAATAACATTTTTGAAGGAACGATAGCGATTTGAAGGCTTCACAATCAACTTTCAATCTAACAACTACAATAGATTTTTTGATTAAATTATTATTAATAAGTTAAACAGTTTTAAAATAATTTCACAGGCGACATATTCTATTTTATTATGTACATCAAAGTCTTTTAAATATTAGAAATAAAGAGACACTCAAAGATCAGCAGAAAGTTCAAGATTATTAGTAATAAATTGAAATCTATAAATCAGCAAAGAATATTGTCCATTCATCCGCGAATTATAGGACTCGAAATGGTAATGTTAGCACCTGCTTGGTACTGCATCATCTGAACCGTCAGTTCACCGCCATAGATATTAAGTTGCCCACTGGGTATAAAGCGAGCAGCGACTTCAATAATGTGAGTTCCTCCTTTGAGCAAAATCAAGTCAGATTTGAGACAAGGCATTGCTACATTAGTAAGGGCACCATAAGTCATTGAACCACCACGATAGTCCACATAAAAATTACTAACACCAAGTTCGGAAGCAAGTGCTTGTCGTCGATCATTGTTTGGCAAGAGCTAGTTTGAAATAAGTACTCGATTATCAACTAGAAAGCGAATAAAACTATGAGTGGCAGATGAAGACTGCTGGCATGTTCCTTGAAATTGAAGTTGATATACCATCGGTTGTGAATGATGAGTAACAAGAGTAAGACCAGGTATTTTAACGAAAACATCGGATGAAGAAGACAATTCGAATGTTGTGGTTTCTTGATATTTTCTAAAAACATGGTGGCCTTGAAGTAGATTTGATGTAAGGACTGAATTAGGAATTTGCACAATACGGTCGGTTGTATTTGTTGCTGATGTAATAGAAACAAAAATCCCCAATAAAAACAGTTTTGAAATCATGGCGTTTTAAAACTGTCACAGAATCTAAGACAACATCACCTGCTCTTATATACAGCAATCTTACTACTCGTTCTTTCTATTGATGTCGCTATCGATAAAGCATAATTTTATGCGTCTAGATATTAGTTTTGCTAATGCGTTTCATTAATCAATCAATGATGTACGGCAGATTAGTGATGCAAAAAGAAGTAGATTAATCATGATTCTTTCCTTCTTGAAAATGAAAGTTTGAAAGCTTTCTCGCTATTTACATAATATTATGTTTAAATACACATACACATACACATTGATGCCAAATATTTACCTTATCTTCACAAATGTAACCAATGAAAGTACTACAAATATTTTTTTTTCTATTGTGGCGTATCTTCACACATTTGCTGAGAAGAAGTATAACGAAAATTGTTCTTTATCGAGCTATCATCATGTTAGAGTTACCGACTTACCTATCAATTCTAATTGCGAAATGAATGTTCACCACTCTCAACGTCGAATTTCACTAAATTATTTTTTTTAAATTTTAGGCAAGAGTGGTAGAACTAGTTCAACTCCTTCTACCGATTTTATTTGTGAGCGTTCTAATTATCATCACTGACATAAACAAAATGATTTTTTCATTATTTTTGACAAAGATGAACCACCTTCTTTTTCGTTTTGCATAATTTATTGATTGACGATAAAAGACACTCGATATAAGCATCCATTTCATTTGCATATTTCTTCGCGGAGAAGCTACTTGTATCCATGCGACTAAACGAGTGGATGGGTGTGAATGTTAGTCTAGTCCTTATGTTCAGCTCCCCCTCCCCTCTCCACATACACCATGAAGTTCAATCAATCAAAACTAAAGAATTATCTTGAATTGACTATATCTATTTAGATGAAAAGTTCTACATTAGCTATGAATTTATGACATATAGATAAACAAACAATAGAAAAGAATTTGAAAATGTGAACATACATAAAAAGAAGATTTTCATGTTTAGATTTTGCTCTTGTATAAAGATAAATTAGGTTCAATACAGATAGTCCAGTATTAAAAACAAATTGTGTCTGCATGAACATTTTCACGTTATATACGTCTCTTAACAATGAATGAAGCTTGTGCTTATATCATATGTTAAGTTGTTTATTGATGCCAATTATTAAGCCAGAAGCATACTCCTTTGAGCTGAACACAGCAGTCACAACCAACCAAAAAGTCCCAAACTAATTCTTGCACAAAGTCTGTCCTCATATGTTTAAGATAACTAGAGATCTTATTCTTTAATTCAAATCTATGATAGGCCGATTCGAACATAACTTTTGATAGATGTTTATTCCTGTTCAATATTCCTTTTGCATCTTCGAAATCATCGACATGAATATCAAGCTCTCTAATATGTCGAGGTAATTTCATACCAATAGCTTTGCGAGTTATAAACACCATTCTATCGGATACATTGCAGATTATTTGTATTGAACGAAGACTGCATGCTTGTTTGAATAGAACATTCATTTCTATTTTCAATCTTGTAGCGAAGTAACACTCATACTGAAAATTCAGGCATATTTTTTCAAGATTTGATAGATTAACAATTTTTGATATGTATTCAATTAAACCGATGGGCCATTTTTCCTTTATCATCAATGTAACTTTTGTCACATTTTGAAGTATGTGCGCTGTTAATAACTTACTCTAAAAATCAAATATTTTTTTATTAAATACTTTCAATCTTGATTTAAAAGTTAAAAATTCTATGCTAACTAATATTTTTTTGAGTGTCCCTTATTAAAAATATGGCCCATGCAGTGGCGGATCCAGAATATGAGTGAGGGGACGGCGGTTTGTCTCAGAGGGTGGCGGTCATGATCAGAAAGTGGCTTTCAAAGTCTATTTGAGGCAACACAATCTCTTTTTTTCTCATTTCTGCTCAGAAAAAAGGGTGTGTGTCTGTGGGTGTGTGGGTATGGGTGTGAGTGTGGGTGCGGGTGTAGGTGTGGGGTGGGTGTGGGTGTGCATGTGGCTGTGGGTGTTGACCTAGTATCCACACCCACACCCTCTATATTACGATTAGAACCTTCTATCGTGAACACTCCTTAACAACACGGCACATCAATTGCTGAATCTCTCAATTTGTAATTTGAGTGGACTCATCATGTTTTACATTTTAATCTCGCAGGAATACACACATTCACCCACATCCATACATATACACATACACTCACACCTCCACGTCATCTCCCGCACGCACATCCACAACCACAGCCACCACTCACACCTACATCCATCCGCCGCCACTCATGTGCACCCATCCACACCAGCGCACCCTGTACTGTCTGGTATGTTCTTAATAATTTCTGAAACACTTGATTATACGACATGTTGACGACTTCAAGCAACAAAAGAAAAATCCGTGTTTAACGGCGATTTACCGTTTACTTTAACTCTACTTCTATGTTACTTTCGATGTGTTCAAAGCTAGTTCATGTCTGTTCGTACCCTTTACATTTATGATCGTCACAGTTTGAGCAGAGTGTGAGTATTAGTACGAATTAAGGAAAGAGACACGCACATTCAAACCTACATCTAGACTCACTCACACCCTGTTCGTTAAGAATAAACATCTACAATATTTTTAATCATTTAATCCTTTTTCATAAAAGTTAACGTTGATTCAGTCATAACAAATAAAAACAATTAGTTTTTGATTGAAATAAAGATTTTATTCTTACAATTATTAAATTATGTTAAAAAACGACAATGGTTCCACAATGTATTAATCTATGAAATAAACGTCTCAGTGAATCCTTTCACACTTTTGTATTTGATTATTATATCTGTTCGAAACATATAAATTAAGTTCTGAATGAAATTCAATATCACTCGGATAACTAAGTTCACTACTACTGTTGCCACGTTTACCTGTACCTGCCATCGTAATGCCTAATATAGCATTTGGACAAAACATTTGTATTCGATGGTTAGAAGTATCGGCAATATATAAATTAGCATATGTATCCATAGTTATACCTTCTGAATAAAACAATTGTGCTGCACTATTTCCAGATGTTCTGGGTATAGCAGCATAAATATTACAAGATTCATAGCTTCCAAGAACCCACTGTGTTATTGAATACAATGCTTGATTAGATATGTACAATATTTGATATTGTTCATCGTAATATAAACCATTTGGGTCATTGAATTGATATGAATTGAGACCAACACGATTACCTACCTAAAACAAATGATCAAGTCAAGTATATTGAAATGATGTGTTTACTATTTTCAATCGATAAAGAAAAGTTCAATTATGTTATATCAGTTGATCGCCATTATCCCGAACTCTCTTTATGTTGTTCTTCTTATTTATTGTCATTCTCTCAGATAAATACAGAAATTTGTAGTAAACTTCAAATGTTTGTATATTGTTAGAATTTATAAAAAAGAATGTGATATTGAAAGACAGGTAATAATAATCATCGAGGAATTCTTCCAATAAAATTAGCAGCTTACAGCTATGATTGTACCAATCGATGTTTTTAAATCAAAAGAGAATGGCCATTTGGTGACGCGTTGACTTTGATAATCACTAATTATTACATTTTTCTTGGAATCAAAGAAAACTGTGCTTGGGAAACTAAATTGATTTAATGCTGAACCACGACTACCATTTCCTCTGATTGTTTTCTCGCTATCAGCAATGAAGATATTTTCATTTTCATCTGCAAAGACATCTGCTGGATCTAATAGCATATTTGCCGCTTTTCCACTGGTACCATTGGCCTGGCCAACAGCTATTTTTATATTGCCATTCGGATACCGTTTTTGAATGCGACTATTGGACATATTAGCAACGTACAAATTTGTGTTTTCAGTTCGATAAATGTACCGTTTGAGAGATTTAATTGATCTGAGCCTCAACCCAAACTATTCCCAATAGGGTGTGGGTGGGTGTCGGTGTCGGTGTGGGTGTTGATCTTATCTCAATTCACACCCATACCCTTTTCATACAGAAAAGAACGACTTTTTCAATATCTTACACCTTTTAAATAGTGTAACTTTCTTTATCAATGCATTATCATTTATATATGGCATATTACAATATTAGACGATGATACACTAAAAAAATCAGAGTTGAAAAGATTAACTGAGGTCCTTTAAAAAGAAAATACTTCCTTTTGCATTAATTATCATTGAGTGCAAAAACGAATGAATGGATTACGGATGTAGGTGTGAGATATAGACCAAAAGAAGATATAGCCACAGTCACACTCTTATTTCACAGAGTATCAATAAAAATTATGCTTCTAGATGAGAAAGACCTTTTGACAATGGGAAAATGTGTTACTCTAGAGTAGGCGTATATAAATGCTTTAATTTTGTGAGAAATTGAAAGTGAGTGTGGGATGCGGATATAGATGGATGTTTGTCGGTGTTATGAGATCAATGATAGATATCCTTCCATCCGGACACTGATACTCACACCTAAATCACCCAAATCTACACCCTCGGTTTGTGTATGTGGTCTGTTTTCAAATATGGTTGTTAAAAAAGTATTACTGTTCTTACTGAATTTACATCAATCATAAACAAATAATGGATTTTCTTTTATTTCATCAGCGACTGATGTAGGTCGTTATAAATTGAATAAACCAAATTTCTAATTTGTAGTAAAGCAAAAGATGAAAATGAAGAATCCAAGATGTGCTTTCCTGAACTGCAATCAGAATGCACAGTACATCGTTATGAACGGAAATTAATCTATTACGATATTTCAGTAATCGTGCATGAAGCCGTCATCAATCAAAAGTTGTCACGTCTTATTCTTGATGAAGATAAGTTATAGATAAAGTAGGTAAATATCTTGGAAAAATGCTTCAATCAAACACATTATTATCAGTAATATTTTCAATGTTAATCAGAGCGCGTATAGAGGTCCGAATTCTATTGCTCAAGCATTGTATATCAATATAACATTGACTGAGTTTCATCGATGTGGGAATAAAATTACTGATGAAGCATGTCTTTGTGTTGCTCATATCGTTGGATAACGAGGTGCTCAACATCTGACTTATCATTGACTCAAAATACAACATTGCAACTTCCGTGGAAGTTCTGAAGTATTTTTTAATCGAAGTCTTTTGAAATTTATCTTTTAGATACAGTACTTTTAGCTCTATCTTAAGATATATTCTAGTCATGGCATGAAGGCATTGAAGTAACTACAGTTACTGAATAAAATTTTTGATCTCCTATAACAGTTCTTAAAGATAAATATAAACAGTACTCGGGCATACGATAAATCGACTATATGCAAAATAATTGTACTGTTCTGTGCAAAAAAATCGACGAAAAAATATTTTCGATTTTGAACACGATGATTATCGCATTCTATAGTGCTATATGAGAGGAGAATATGAATAAAATTTCCCGACTATGACTATCAAATTGGCCGAGATACGAATGTTTCTTTAAAAATACTGCTTAAATCCAAGTCCTATTTACATTAATAATATACGCTCTAGCTGAATTTTTCGACGATATTTTAGATTTTAATCTTGACCCTTTTCTTTCGAATGAGAAATCATGTGCAATGTAAAGAATTGAGTCGCTCAAACAGCAACAATTTACCATAAATTATATTTCGTTATTAGACTTATACAGTGATAAAATTTGAAATGTGCAGTCAAGCAGAGAATGCATATAGTTAATAACCTTTTTCTGAAAATTTATTAACCTGTGAAACATAAGCGAAAATTAATTCGTATGTCTCTTGACAGTTTCTTAAATATAGAAGTCAATTGATATATTATGTATCTACTTTGACTTTAGTTGTGAGGCAGTTACGCACATAATAATCTCGAGTGACACATTTCCGAATTAAAGGATTGACTGTACATATGGTATACAGAAAAACGGGTCATAACAACTGTCATGGAATAACTAGTCAGTTTTATATCCGACAAATACATACTGATATTTATAATATTTATAACTTTTACAGTTCAAATGAAATGAGAACAAATCCCTATTTGATATTTTCTTTAAATAGGTGGTAGTCAATGTTGTACTATTTATCCTTGTGGTCCTAATATCTCAAGATCTATCCGAGATAAAATCATGAAGATTGAACGAGAGGGATCCGAGATATTAAACGTTTACATATAAAAATTCAACGGTACAATAATTTTGCAATGCGCTCATATGTTCCAAAACATTCTTTTTTCAAGCAAAAAACAATATCGAAGTCAATCCAGTGCTACATTGATGAAAAATAAATTTCGAAATTCTTTTGGAGACTTTGGAATCTCTCGTTAGTTAAAAGAAAAATAAAAAATATGATATCCAATCATGACTGTAATTTTAATATAATGTCATTGCATGTTGCTTGAAGTGGAATATTGACAAAAGCTAGTCTCGAAGTATGATAGTTTTGCTGAAATTCGAAAAATAAAAGTGTAATAGAATTCTGGTAGCATTACAGGAACAAGATCAATGAGAAGAGATACTAGAAATGAGGCCTGAAAGCAGCTTGAAGGTACTTTGATAATCCAAAAAAAAAAGAATTTATGACAATTCAAAGTTTCGAACGAAGAATAAATAAATTGTCGAGTTACTTCTAATCTATCTTGTTAGTATTACATACTGATGCATACTTTTCATTGTGTATATTGCTGTGTGTGCGTGACACAGCCACACATATATATATATATATCTTATCTGTCTCAAGCAAACACCACTTGAAAATCTGCTTTGATTGTGTTGAGACTGCACTTTCTTTTTCTCTTTTAAGTCACTGAAAAACTTCATTGACATATATTCTTATCAGATATACTTGTAAGTTTAACAATGGGTAGACTAAATGAGATATTACTAATATTTCTGCATATTCAAATTATATTTTGGTGTTGGATACCGTCTACGATATCGATAAAAATTAGTCCTTGCGCAAAATGGAATAGAACAAGTGAAATAGTGGCTGGTCTCGGTGGAAGGGGTAACAATCCTGATCAACTTCTTGATCCTGAAGGAATTTTTATTCATAGACAAAGCAACACATTATATGTATCTGATACTGGTAATAGCCGTATTCAAGCGTTTAAGCTTAATCAACTATCGAACATGGGTACCACCGTCATATTTAATGTCACATATCCTACAAAGATCTATGTTGATGATGAGAACGATGGGCGAACCATTTATGTCTCTCTTCGAAATGAAGGTCGTGTCAAAAAATGGGTTCAAGGTGCATCAGACGGTGTGCAAGTCGGAGGCGAATGTTCGATGTGTGAAAGCGTATGGGTCGACAAAGAGAAAAATGTTTATATGACATCAGTGATGAAAAGTTGTGTGTATAAGTGGTCACCACAAACAAATATTATAACAGTCGTTGCCGGTAGAGAAATGTGGCAAGGATCTAGCAGTGATTCTCTCAATTCTCCTGAAGGCATTTATGTTGATGATACCAGTGGTACTGTGTATGTGGCCGATTATGCAAATCATCGCATTCAGAAATGGTTAATAAATGCTCTTAATGGTACCACTGTAGCTGGACTTAGCACGGGCAATCAAGGCAGTGATGCTGAATCGTTATCGTATCCGACTGCTGTATGGGTCGACGATGAAACTCAAGTTGTGTATGTGGCAGATTCAGACAATAATCGAATTCAACGTTGGTTATCAAATGCACTGTTAGGTGATACCGTTGTTGGTGGAGCAGGTATGAACGTAGAATTTTGACTAGTCTTATCAGAATTTTCGATCAGACATTTAAAAACTATAGTTTACTTCCATGCTATCAATTTTACCTGTTTTTAAAGAGATCCAACATGAGAATTGAGTGAAAAGCAAACTTATATTCTTAATGAAGAAGCAATTTTGAACTGTCGCTTTGATGAACTGAAGCAAAGGTGAATGACAATAATAATGTTTAGCCTTTATTCTCAACCATTTTTAATCAATCTTTGGATTCATTGATAAATGTTTTAAATAATTCCAACTGCTTTCAATTTTCGAGGAACATTTGAAAATATTTTAGTCAGTGCTATAAAGAAAAAACGTATTTGAATTATTATCGGTCTCTGAGAACATTTCATTATAGGTGAGGGTGATAAACCTAATCAATTTGATCAACCTGTCGATTTGGCATTTGATAACGATGGCAACCTCTATGTGTGCGACCGCTTGAATGATCGCGTTGTCAAGTTTACAATAACTCACAACGAGCCATGTTTTCCAGTACCAACAACTAGACCAGGTTCTTTATCTTTCATCTTTTCAGTACATATTTATTGATTTTACAATGTTATCATAATTAAGTATGTGACAGGTCCCGCGAACTAGAGAGGATCATCAGGTCTTTCCGAGAGTTATCCAATATAAGTACTCATAAGTCCTCAAGACCTATATGAGATAGAGGAGTATGAGTGGAACTCATTTTTCCAATTAGAACTAGTCTCACGCCGACACTTACAGTAATAGCCCACACTAAATCTTAGCTTGGTATTAATCTACAAACATAGGAATCTATATCTCAACTAAACATGTTAGGTCTAACTATTCTATATACTGTTATGATTCGTGAGAAATTTCGATAATACTGAAAAATCGACAATATTGTTCAACTACTAGTGAAACTTTGCCATCAAGTTAATATATATATATGCCAAATGCTTGAAAAAAAATCAATTTATCACGCTAAGATCGATGTGAATTCTAGTACTTTTGAAAATTCTTTTTATATTCATCATGTTACTCCAAATAGATCAAGAAAATTTAGAAAAAAAATTAGAAGAGAACAAAACTTGTCAGGATACTCAAAATGGTTGATTATCTGTGTTTCGATACACTTAGCTTCAGCTTATATTCACTATAAGGCTATGTAAATAGATGCCTGTATTATTTAGATGTTTTAAGAATGAAATTTCAGTAGGAATATTTTTTCAACACGACATCACTTATTCTTTTTCCAGAGCTGAAAATTATAACCTTCGAACTGCGTTCTTTCTACTACAGTTATTGAATTTACAATGAAATCAATTCATTCTACGGATTGACAGTAATATCTTGACAACTTTACAATAATATTTCTTTGACTAGTTTCTTTGAACTATTCATCTAGTAAATAGTCTACTTCAGTGTTGTCCCTGAATGCATTCTAATATTCACTGTTTTTGATTCTTTTAGTCACTAATCTACCTTCAGTTTTGTCAAAATATTCGAGTGCACTAATGCCAAATAGTCCACAGTTTTCTCAACCCAATGGCAATATTCAAGATCACTATTACTATCAAGCTATTCGAGTTACTGTAGCCACAAGTGGAAATTACTCTTTCGAAAGTATATCTCATATCACCACTATGGGCTATTTATACGACACATCTTTTGATCCGTCCAATCCATTGGCAAATATCATCGTTTCCAGTGATAATGATGGTGCACAAGTATTTCATATCAGTTCTCTCCTTTCATCCGCGCGCACATATATTTTGGTTGTAACCACTTCTCAAGCATCTGTTATGGGTGATTTTTGGATATTAGTCCATGGCCCAGCTTTGGTCGGTCTTGCATCAATTTCACCATCAGTTGGTAAGTTAGTTAAGATTTAGTAGATCTCTAATTCACTCAGCACTTCGTCAGAAAAGCAATTTTTCTTCGTATGTGAAATGACTCTAGATTTTCTTGTTGTATCGATACTATTTTTGAGAAGACACTCATTCATCAATAGAGTCCGGTACAAGCGTTATAAACTGGTACAGATTCTTAGATGTTTTTTAATTGATGGCTTCCAGATTTCTACAGAATATATTTTTGACTGATATTCGCGGTTTTTGAATGGTTCTTTATCCCTTCTTCACAATATATTGTCTTGCAACTCGACCAAACGATATAGTTAGATTGATAGGACCGATCTTGTCTATCATTTGTACTTCTCTCTGAATTATTTGAAATGATGCTGGAATCACGATAGATCTTTCGTGCACCATAATATTTGTCAAGTTTAATTTTTACTATATTTGCTTTTCACTATTAAAAATCAATGCAGGCTTGTCGAGAACAAAAATTACGCTAGTTTTTGTAATATCTGTTAATAATCTTTGAGTCAACACTTCCGAGAATAAAATATAATTTGCTGCTAATAGAAGCATAATCAATCTTTACGGATACTTATAAGCTAAGTATTCGGATGTTTTCTAATCATTCTGTAATTTGAATTTCTATGATGATGATAGTGGGAACATTGTACAGTTTATGATAATTATTATCCTTCAATATAAATTCACAAACTATTCAGGTTCTACAACGGCTATTTCAATTTCTACAACCAAGACCAACAGTCTGATTACCTTCAGCACTACTCTTAAGTCATCAGTGTCGATGAAACCAAGCTCAACAACAGTATCAAGTAAGTTGATTGATTGGTATACGTGCATTAGTAAACAACGGGATACATCAAATCGTAGTTTTCGAAAATCTATTCAAAATCCATGAATATAAATATTGCACTTTACTCTGAAGAATTCAAAATAAGCCTCAAGTTCTGTGTCTAAATAATCTTCATAGGAGATAGTGTACTTTTTATCCATCATAATCGTCAGTTTCTCGTTCTATTCTGTTGTTATTTTACGTAATTCTCATTAATAGCTATTGATCATTGAGAGATACCCAAATACAAATAGTGCGGCAGAAACTGAAGATTACTATCTACAGGAAATAAATATCTTTTGAAAGTTTCAACCGTGCACAAAATGATAGAATGAAAAATATTGTGCTTCGAGTTGTTTAATATTCTGTCACTCTTAACTATTCAGTCATTGTTCACTAATATTCCACACCGTTGTTTTCATTTTATATTAACTTAGAAGATTAAAGAACCAATCATAGAGTGTGAATCGATCGACAACTATGAAACTTTTTCTAATAGTCTTTTTAGTTATTTGTATGCTCATCATGTCAACACTACAAATGCTTTAACAACGTTTATTCTTATCGAATGACAACGAAATCGATCAACATTTCTAATTTGTCCAAACTACCAGTTCATTATTTCTTCTAGTAACAATAAACCCATTTCTCACATTTCAGTTATACTTAGTCTTAATTCTTCTTTTTTTTTGTATTGAATATTGACTGCTTTTTTATTAAAAGTTATCAACATTATCATTTCTTTTGAATTATTTCTACTACACTCAGACTTTCTCTTATAATAGTAGAATAACTTTTGGATCATATGTTTTTCTTTCATTAAATAAGTTTTACGACTTCGGCTTTCCTTAAGTAACATTCTCGTCTTATTCTTAATGATACACATGATCATGGTTATCTATGTAACACAAACTTCTATTTCTTCAAAATCCGATAGATATATGAACAGTTGAGCTCAAAGCAGAAGGACTCCTTATTGATATTCAATTTTTTCATATGTAGTTCTGACGAAGATACATAAGAAGGTATATCTATGTTATTCACTAACAATGGAGGTGTTTGTATTGTCCGTGAGAAAAAATGGCACATATTCGGGTCAAATGAAAGCTCTCGCTGCTAAACTAAGAAGGTTATAATATTAGCGGCTGTTGGCTTACCTAGAGGAAGATATTCGAATTTTAAGGTACAGTCTATATAAAGTATATGTGTTATCGGATCAAAGATTAAAGGTCAAAGGTCAAATGTAAGGACGTGATAGACATAGGTCTGGGGCTGTGACCCAGGCGAATGTTGTGTGGCTCTTACGTGGTGATCTACAGTACAATCACAACATCATCCACCCATGTGCTCCCAAGATTCACCTACATTCCTGGCCCTTGATCCCTGACCTTTGACCTTTAATCTTTGATTTGATAACATATACTTTATATAGACTGTTCCTTAAAATTCGAATATCTCCTTCTAGGCAAGCCAACAGCTGCTAATATTTTAACCTTCTTAGTTTAACAGTGAGAGCTTTCATTTGGCTCGAATATGTGCCATTTTTCTCGCGGACAATACAAACGCCTCCATTGTAAGATATCAATCTAAATACTGCCTGTCTAAAGTACTTCTCTGGGCAAACCATGCATTGATAGATCGAACCAAATCGATTTGCTAAATTCTTGTAAAATGCTTATGATTATAGTTTACAGTCAAGACCTGTAGTTGATAATCGGCAATAGTCAACGTTGACTAAACAATTCATTGGTCCAAACTAACCATGATTGGAAACAAAGTGACGAAAACACTTTTCAGATTGAACCTTTAGGCAACAGTACCTGTCCTAAAGTATTATATCGAGATAAATAATGATATATGAGCAGTTTCTTTCATATTTTACATTACAAAAAATCAACAGACGCAACTCTGACGATATTTAAGAGGTAGACGAACAAATGAGACAGTTTACCAGACCTTAAAGTACAAACAACTCTTCCTGTCGATGAGAGATTTTCATTCTCCCACTTGAAAAATTTACAATTACTAGTGATCGATATTACCGTATTAGTTAGTCTGTATTGATCTTCATTATTCTTGTTAGAGCTCCCAAACTCGTCTCATATATACCACGAAGATCCGAAGATAATTTACATTCACTGTAGCGAATTCTACAGTTCCGACATTATTCAATGTTTTTTTCCTCAATAAAAATACTCTGATGCTGCCAAGCTAAACCCAAGATTGTTAAATTGAAGTAGCATGTATTAATTGTGAATCACATTGCGATATTGATTCACGAACTTTTGCATTATACCAGCTTGGTTATTCCCGTACGTAGACACTAACCACATTGAAACGCAGTAGCAGTTATATCAATCATCAAAAAGTGCAACATTTTGCTAGAGCTCTCGAACGAAACTAAGTAATATCCCCACTTTCTTTATGTACCATTGATTCCATGTTGAAAACAAGCACTCCTCACACTATGCCTCAATATCAATCAAATCGGTGATCAAGAAGTGCAACGTCTTTGTAAACCTCTGAGACAAAACTAAATAATATCTCTGTTTTTTTCTCCATCATTTACTATTTGATCAAGATAAACACTAACTACACTTGGTGAGCATGAAGAACAGTATTTTACCGATGTTCTACAGGAAAATCTAATAGACTTTTAGTTGGTTTTGATGGTTTGAACTACTAGGTAACTGGCATTGCTGATATTAGACATCAGTTTTTAGGCATGGCTGAGAGTGCTCGTCAATGTTTGTAGTGTTGCCTTACTCATTGTTGTGTCTGTTTCGGCATGATATCATTCCAGAATTAGAATTGTGTTGTGTTATGGAACTACGATGTCATTTGATGTTTATTTTTCATGTGATTCAGTCTGAAGTAGAAATAGATTGTTGATTTCTCCTTGTCAATGCATATCCATGAAGTAAAATATTGAAGGAAACGGACCGCGTAACGCGTTTCCGAGATTGTAGCATGCGTTTCGCAACGTTTTTTAAATAAAGGACGCGCTTCGCAGCATTCTTGCTTACTTAAAATGCGTTTTGCCACCGTCGTTTTTTGAAACGATCCGAAACGCTTTTTTAAAGATTGCGTTTCGAGGCGTTTCAGAATTCAAATGCTGTCGAACGCACTTTGGTCGACAGGCGACGCGTTTCACAGGTACAAATTGAGGGAAAGGTAGAACGCGTTCCTTTTTCAAATGTATGTTGGATTGTTTTTGCTTGGATTGATGCAAAATATATCCGTTCTGCATACAGAATCTTGTAGAAATTCACCAACACAAAGCATATGAGTTAACCAAAGTAAATTCTTTAAAATTACTTTGGAAATTATATGAAATAGCATTTAAAGTTTTGCTCCTTGCACTATTTTTACGTGAAAATCATGACCAAGAATTTTATGAAGGCAAGACTAAAATCAAAGTCTTCTAAATTTTTAGGCTGCTAGGCTGTTACCTAGACTTATTTCGAAGTTAGACTAATGTAAAACATCAAAGTGTAACAAAAATATGTTCTGCTTACTTAAAAACTCATTTCACCACGTTTTTATTGAAAGAAAACATGTTTCGTAAGGTTTACTTAAGAATCATTTTAAATATTGAGTATTTCGAAAAGATTTAGTAAAGATTGATACTAATATAATTAGTATCGCAACTCTCTTTGGTTATTTGTGAAGAAAAATAATTATCACGTTATCTATAATTTGAATAATTATTAGTATGAGTTCATACTCGAACGAATTGCTAATGAATAATGATACTGTGTACAATACTAATGTCCGTTTCAAAATATAATGCGTCTCACTGTTTTTTAAATAACTCAAGAATGCAATCAGCTAGAGATCTGCGGTTTTCACCAATCGAAAGAAGAGACAGGGGGACGTCTTTTTCTCCAATATTATATCGGACAAAATCATTTTAGAATCAGTCATTTCTGCAACACATTGCAAAAAATGCATGAAAACGACCCGGCATTCTGAAGAAATTTTCCTTTTGACATGTGATCTACATAGAGGAACTTCGGATCTATACTTCAGGATGTAATTCGAATGATTATCTTACCGCATCCTAACGTTTAGCAAATAATATCGTCTATTTACTTGCAAGAAAACTATGAATTTCTTTTAATTTTGAAGCAAATTTTTTTACTTTTTGTCAAAATTTCATCTGAATGACAGACCATTTTTTCGATGTTATGCAGAAATGACTGGTTTCAAAATGATTCCGTCTGATACGATATTGGAGAAAAATATGCCCCCTGTCTCTTCTTTCGATTGGTGAAAACCACAGGTCTCTGGCTGATTGTGTTCTTGAGTTATTCAAAAAAACAGTGGGACGCATTATATTTTGAAACGGACATTAGTAAACATGATTTTAGTTTGTACATTGTTGAAGTAAGAGTGACTTTTTAATAAAAGAGATTCGACTTACAAAAGAAAACTCCCTTCATTTATTGATGTAATTGAAGAAAACGATGGCAGATTTACATTTACAAAAATCTATTAAATCAAGAAAATAAATAAAAGATTAAATTTTAAATTTTTTAAAACTTATGTATAAGAAATTTAATTTTTTAAATATTAAATATAATTTAAATCGATTAAATTCGGTTCTATTGAGTATCTAAATTTAAATCTGAAAGAGTTTAAATAAAAAATGTATCAAGAAAAGACCACATTAATTGGACATGGGCACCAAAGAAATAATAATTTTCAATTCAGTAGAATGGAAACTGAAAATCTAATTTAGTAAGTTTACG